TGTAAACCAAGGTACCACTGTAATCCATTCCAAAAGACTGTTTGACTTCCAAAATGTTTGAAAACCGAAGCATTTACTTCCAGGTTTCGGCATTCAGAAACCGAAGCTCTTGGCTTCCGAGATGTTTGAAAACCGAGGTACTGCTGTACTCCAAATGGGATGCAATTAAGGTGTGTTTTACTGCGGCCAAATCAGACATCTCAAGGAAGGGGCGCAGTTGCCACACTAGCTTTATAACTGTGCAAATGCCCTCCTGGCCACCACAGAGACCTGGGTATCTAGGAGCACACCCAAACTGCAAACCTGTGTCTGCAGTGTGACCCCCATCCAGCCCAGGCTCAATCCCTATTCCCTGTTCTGCCTTATGACTATCTTTATTTCCTTGGAACCATAGGAGCTGACTCATAGGGGGCCAAGGTCCCTTTGCTCCCACCCAATAAAATATTTGAAGGGGCTTCCCCACAAAAAAGTTGATGGGCATTGCCATTCAAGTGGTGTGGCATCTGTGATTGATTATGCAGGGCAGGGCTTTCCTGGCTCCACTGAATGTTTTATTCAAGTTGGTACCCCTGCTTGGAACACTACCGTTTGTTCCATTTTAACTCTTCCGACCATCTGTTTCTGGATCCCCAACCAGCTTCCTGTCTGTCAGAAGACTGGCCCTCAGTCTATAAATGCTAATGTTTCTATAGGAGCCTGCTGTGAGGGACTTTATCAAAGCTTCTTGAAACATCTGTGGGGGATTGAACCTGAAGGCTTCACCTTGATGCCAATCTTGATATAGTGACTGGGAGTCACTGACCCATTGTACTTTCCAGCTATGTTTAACTGACCTTCTCAGCAAGTATAAAGTTCACATTTCTAAATCTGTTCCAAGACATACAGTCACATAGATCCCAGATCATTATATAAACTTCCATAAACAGCAGGCTGAGAGTAAACGAGCCTGATGTTACTGCTGATTTTTGTGGGATGAAATGCACAGCTATGTCAAGTGCTGGATTTTCCCGCACCCCAACATTTTTATCCCTTGATTTTGATTCCCAAACCGGAAATGTACCGTACTTTTCCGTGTATAATGCGCCCCATGTATAAGACGCCCCCTATTTTGGGGGACTCGGATTTAGAAAATGGGGTGAGATGGCACAAACCTGTTGATCTTTTTTGCAGAGGATTGCCCAGAGTTGTTGAGCTTTTTATGCTGACAATCGCTCACCAGCGCGCACCGCTAAATCCGCCTCTCATCTGTCCCCAAGCCAGCAGAGGCTGCAAATTGCCACAGCGTCACCCAATCAGCACCACCCACACAGCAACCAATAACACGCACAAAAGCCTTTGATAGCCATGGCAGCAACCAATCAAACATCTACGCTATGCACTACCCATGTATAAGATGACTCCCACTTTTTAGCATGATCCTTATTGGAAAAAACCTAGTCTTATACATGGAAAAGTACGGTAGGTAGTTTTCAGGCAGATGTTCCCTTACATTCTGGAGTTGAAAGGACATAACATATTTCCAGAAGGACAGCAATGCGCAATCCCAGCCATGTTTATTCAGATGCAAGTCCTATATTTACTCAAGTCTAATGCACCATCAAATCTAATGTTCACCCGATTTTTCATAGCCTTATTTGGAAAAAAAGGTGTGCATTAGACTCAAGTAAATATGCTATATCTGAAATAACTACTGATGGCTTTTCTGTTGTTCCTCAAAACAGCACATCATTATGTACACATAACTGAAAATAGAATCTATCCATCTATCATCTATCTATCTATCTATCTATCTATCTATCCTGTAAGTCCTTCCAGCAGCACTGGCTTCCATTGTCCCTGGAATCTGCATTCATGACGCTTTCCCCCTCCCTCCTCCTTTGCATAAGGAATTCTGAGACTGGCAGTTCTCAGGAAAGCATGTCACACAGGGAAAAATCTCTATGTCCCTTAAACTACAACAGCCCAGTTTAACTGTACAGACACCCTCTCTCTTGGTTCTAAATAAGGGCTTCGGGGGGTTGCTCCTTGCCAGGGTGGTGTGGTGGTTAAGAGTGGTAGTCTCCTAATCTGGTGGACCAGGGTTCGCGTCTCCACTCCTCCACATGCAGCTGCTGGGTGACCTTGGGCTGGTCACACTTCTGTGAAGTCTCCCAGCCTCACTCACCTCACAGAGTGTTTGTTGTGGGGGAAGAAGGAAAAGGAGATTGTGAGCCACTTTGAGACTCCTTCGGGTAGTGATAAAGCGGGATATAAAGTCCAAACTCTTCTTCTTCTCTTCTCGTCAAATACTGTACATTGTTTGTTCTGCTCCAACACTATTTTTGCTGTATTCTAGCAAGTGGGTGGTGTGGTGGTCTAAACCACTGAGCCTCTTGGGCTTGCTAGTTGGAAGGTCAGCGGTTCAAATCCCGGTGATGGGGTGAGCTCCCGTTGCTCTGTCCCAGCTCCTGCCAACCTAGCAGTTCAAAAGCAAATAGGTACTGCTGCAGCAGGAAGGTAAATGGCGTATCCGTGTCACAGATATTCCATGAGTCTCTCTGCATGCTGCCCTTTGCATTGCTCAATTCAGATGCATCTCAAAGTCCAACTGCACCAAATTTTTCGCAATGCCCTATTGACAAGAAATTATCGGCTGTATTAGCTGCATTAAGCTGCCCTGTCGTCATAGACATTGGAGAGGACGTTGATTACTTAGTAAAGTAAATACAGCAAATACAGGGGTGGACCCACGAAGGGATCACTAGGAGGGTATTTAGATCTCTGCATCTCCAGTGCTGGGTGTCTGGAGAACCAGCCTGTGCTGCCCATCACAGCTCAGCCATGGGGGCAGCCCCACTCCTCTGTGCCTTGACTGTACTCTCACTCACAGCTCCAGTCATATCGGACCCGTAAGATTTTAATTTTCCATTTCTCTTTGCTCAGCCAGTTTCATAGTGGAATAGGAGTGCAGACGGGCAACAAAAACTTAAGGACTATGAGGAAATGGCAAAACTTACCTGAAGAATAAGAAATCAAGATAACAAACTCTTTATAAAAGAATGGAAATGGTTTATTGAATATTTGCAGATAAATTGTAAACAGATAAAAACATCAGCAGTGTTATTGTAATAACCTGCAGTTTCATGAGAGTATATATTTATAGCAGACAATTAAAGGAGTAACTTAAATGAATTTGGATATGCAGAAGATATGAAATAATAAATTTAAGGAACCGCAGAAAGAGGGGGGAGGGAAGCCAAATTTTGAAATGTTAAATGGATTGTAAAGTTAATGAGATGTATAAATTTGAAAAGTATAAATAAAAAACTAAATAGAAAGAAGAATGCAGATGGGCACATGGGGCAGAGAGTGACAATGCGGAGCTCCCTTTCATATGTGGGTCGCATTGGCTCAGGTTATCTTCCGCACAGAGGCAGATTTTAGAGCACTTTCAGGCACCGGGTTTAAATTGACTTGTTGAATTGCTTTGAATGGAGAACCTCCAGGTATTCTGCTCCCAGGCATGCAGCTCTGTTTTATGCACGTTTACTCAGAAACAATTTCCACTGAATGACATAGAAGTCTGCTTGTTGCTGGAGCAAATGCCATAGCTTAACTGTATGCTGTGGGGAGTTATTTCTTGCAACATTCAGCTCCGTTGGGTTCTAGGAGAAAACTTTCCCCACACCATACATCATCTAAACTAATCTCCTGCCCAATTTTGTGACTTTCCCTCATGCCTAACCTTTAAGCTGAGCCTGGATAGCTCAGGTGGTTAGGGCACGATGCTGATAACACCAGGGTTGCAGGTTTGATCCCTGTATGGGACAGCTGCGTATTCCTGCATTTTGGGGAGTTAGTCTAGATCAGGGGTTGTCTGCCTGGTCCCTACCGCCCACTAGTAGGCATTTCAGGATTCTAGGTGGGCGTAGGGGGTTCTCTATGGCACAAGCTGGATCCTCCTTCCATTCAGGCTGGTGGGCGGTAAGGAAATTTTACCATCAAGAAAGATGGATTTGTAGGCAGTAGGTATAAAAAGGTTGACTACTCCTGGCCTAGATGATCATCAGGGTCCCTTCCAGCTCTAATTCTTCCAACTCTAATTCCAATTCTATAATTCTAATTTATCTGCCACACCCTGCAGCTGCCCAGGAGAATTGCATCCCTCACCCAATGACAAAAAAAGTTTTTATTTTAGGTTGTTTTGTTTGTATGCTTCAGTTTATTGTTTGGCCAAAGGCCTTAGCAATTACTGAGTAATGTCCCCCCCCGCCCCCGATAAGGGACTATAACTTAATTAAAATCTTGGCAGGGATACAATGACACTTGTAATGTGAAATGAACTTTGGTATCCACGATTATATAACAGATGGATAACGGTAAAAGAAAAAGAATATTTTTTGGGGGGGAATGGAACCCATGGAGGGAAGGGAGGAGGTCTGAAGGTTCGAAAGAACCTTTTCTTTTTATGATTTGAAATGGTTAAAGTTATTATGTATAAAGGTAAAGAGACCCCTGACCATTAGGTCCAGTCATGGCTGACTCTGGGGTTGCAGCGCTTATCTCGCTTTACTGGCCGAGGGAGCCGGCATACAGCTTCTGGGTCATGTGGCCAGCAGGACTAAGCCACTTTTGGCGAAACCAGAGCAGCGCACGGAAATGCTATTTACCTTCCCGCCGGAGTGGTACCTATTTATCTACTTGCACTTTGACATGCTTTCGAACTGCTAGGTTGACAGGAGCAGGGACTGAGCAACGGGAGCTCACCCAGTCGCAGGGATTCGAACTGCCGATCTTCTGATCGGCAAGTCCTAGGCTCTGTGGTTTAACCCACAGTGCCACCCATGTTATGTATAAATTAATGTAAAACTAATATTTTTTTAAAAAAAATAACTTAATTAAAATTTTCTGGATCCCACAGAGCAACTTTGCAACAACTGCTAAAGTACAATTTCTCCAAAACTGTCAGGAAAGGCCTTACAGATCATAGGATGTCCCCCTCTCTTTTCTCTCGCAGCCGCTATCTGGTGGCCTTCCCTGCAATCATCCGCCATCCCAATACAGAAAGTTTTGTGTGCAACTGATGTCCCTGCCAGGGACGGGCCCACGTGTCGGTGACATTAGAGATGACGTTGCAGAACCACACCCTGCTGGAGAAGGATGTGGAGAAGCCAGGGACCCACGAATGCATCAGCTTCCAGGCAAGTTTCATCCATTGCAAGCCAGTCAGTAGAAGATGCTCTCGCTTCTTAGCTAGATAAGGGCAGCGGGTCACAGTGAAGGACGGAACAAGGCAGCACACTAGCTGTGGTAGAGATTGCCATCGCTGCAGTGAACCCTCCTAAGGCTTAGTACAACACCATGTGAGTTGGTGCCATGATCATATGGCGAGTCCAACACATGTAAACCTATGGCAAGAAGTGGGGGCAGGGTAGGTGAGAGATAATATTGCAGGGGCAACTGTGGAAATAGTCATATCAGTGTCCGGCCGAGGGTCCAGCAATATAATAATCATAATCATAATCATAATTTTATTATGTATACCCTGTCCATCTAGCTGGGTTTCCCCAGCCACTCTGGGTGGCTTACAACACATAAAAAATTGTAAAACACTAGACATTAAAATTTTCCCGATACAGGGTTGCTTTCAGGTATCTTCTAAAAGTCAGATAGTTGTTTATTTCCTTGACATCTGATGGGAGGGCGTTCCACAGGGCAGGCGCCACTACCGAGAAGGCCCTCTGCCTGGTTCCCTGTAACCTCACTTCTCGCAGTGAGGGAACTGTCAGATGGACCTTGGTGTTGGACCTCAGGGTCCGGGCAGAACGATGGGGGTGGAGACGCTCCTTCAGGTATACTGGGCCGAGGCTGTTTAGGGCTTTAAAGGTCGGCACCAACACTTTGAATTGGGCTCAGAAACGTACTGGGAATATTATGAATATTATGCTATTACTGCAAGTAAGTTCGCAAATGCTTTGAACCCAAGACAATTGTTATGAGCTCATCGGCCCACACAGATGTTTTACATGTCTTTAACTGCAACGGCTCTTAGAATGTTCCAACTGTTTTAGGATGCTTTTAAAAATGTGGACGTGTTTGCTGTTTCAGAAGGAAGGATGGGATATAAATTCAATAAATGAAATATCAGTGTAAGTTGTTTGGGGGAAACACCCATAGCCCGAAAGAGAAAGGACGGAAAAAGCTCTGACTAGCCACCTGTGAATTCCTGTGTAGTGAAACCATCATCTATTTCTGCATTCAGAATGGATGTTGAAAATCTACACCCCTCAGCTTAGCTGTTGCTTATATTTTTTAAATTGGATGGAAGCGGGTTTGAGGGAAAGGAAACCAACCAGCGATATTTCTCAGGAATTACAGGGTTCAGATGGATTGCTGCTCATGCCATGTCTACTCGGTTTCAAACACTAGTGGCGAGAGCATGTTGGAGCCAGAGTAAATGGTAATTGTTACACATCCTCAGAACCACTTCCAGGCAAATAGGCAAGTTCCTGTTTACAAGCCTGTTTCATGTGGATGTATTTATTGTGGACCAATCAGAAGGTGTTCTGAGGTCAAAAATAGCTGTGCGTACCTTTAAAAATAAAACCAGCGCTGACAGGTAATGTACAGTGGTACCTCGGGTTAAGTACTTAATTCGTTCCGGAGGTCCGTACTTAACCTGAAACTGTTCTTAACCTGAAGCACCATTTTAGCTAATGGGGCCTCCTGCTGCTGCTGCACTGCCGGAGCACGATTTCTGTTCTTATCCTGAAGCAAAGTTCTTAACCTGAAGCACTATTTCTGGGTTAGTGGAGTCTGTAACCTGAAGCATATGTAACCCGAGGTACCACTGTATTAGAATTTTATTTAGGTGCATTTTTGAATTAGATTGTGGTAATATGATTAAGGTTCAATAGTTGTGATTCCTGCATTGCAGGGGGCTGGACTAGATGACCCTTGGTGTCTCTGCCAACTCTACAATCCTATGATTCTATGGCACAGGTGAAGTTCTGTGTGAATTTTACTTTTCTCCCCTCTTTTTCGTCCACCAATCAGTTTCTTTCTCTTTAGGTCCCAGTCTTTGTTCCCAGGAAGAAGCCAGTGGAACAACCCGTAAGTCTTTGCTGCTTCTTATAACCATTCCTTCCTTCTGATCTCTGGAAGGATTCGCGTAACAGAAGAGGGAGAGACTGTATGAACAACTTGGGAGGAAGAGGGGAAAGTGAGGTGGAGGGGGGGAGGAAATGGGGTGGCAGAGACAAGGATGGAGGAACAAACCACAGTGTGTCTGGGCAGAGAGGGAAGCAAAGAAGGCTTTTGTGTGTGGATAATAAAGGGAAGAATTTTTGATCTTGTTTCCCTATTTCCTGGGGAAAAGAGGGTCACAATTTTGGATGGATGCTCTGGTATCTTCTCCAGCTGCAAAATATGCTTCTCTTCTCAGTCCTCCTGCTGTTGAAACAGTCCCCCCTCCTTTATGTTGTTAAGGAAGAATTGGCCAGTGTGCATATCCTAATACGAGTGGGTGACACCATCTTTATCGAAAGGAAGAAGGTGCTGGTTCAGGACGCTTATGTCAGGCATATTATAGAGCCAGACAAGCCCTATTACAAGCCTGGAGAGACAGGTAGGCATGACCTTGTTGTTGTTGTTTAGTCGTTTAGTCGTGTCCGACTCTTCGTGACCCCATGGACCAGAGCACGCCAGGCACCTCTGTCCTCCACTACCTCCCGCAGTTTGGTCAAACTCATGCTGGTAACCTCGAAAACACTATCCAACCATCTCGTCCTCTGTCGCCCCCTTCTCCTTGTGCCCTCCATCTTTCCCAGCATCAGTGTCTTCTCCAGGGAGTCTTCTCTTCTCATGAGGTGGCCAAAGTACTGGAGCCTCAGCTTCACGGGCATGACCTTACCCCCCAACATTTCTCTGATGAAAATAGGGATGTCCTATTCCATAATAAAGGGACGCGGGTGGTGCTGTGGTCTAAACCACTGACCCTAGGGCTTGCCGATCAAAAGGTCGGTGGTTCGAATCCCCGTGACGGGGTGAGCTCCCATTGCTTGGTCCCAGCTCCTGCCAACCTAGCAGTTTGAAAGCATGCCAAAAAGTGCAATGTCGGTGTTCCGTTGCGCCAGAAGCGGTTTAGTCAAGCTGGCCACATGACCCGGAAAAACTGTCTGCGGAGCGGACAAACGCCAGCTCCTTTGGCCTATAAAGTGAGATGAGCGCCGCAACCCCAGAGTCGTTCACAACTGGACTTAACTGTCAGGGGTCCCTTTACCTTTTTCTTTATTCCATAATAATATTACTAAGAATGTTATTATTTATACCCCACCCATCTGACGGGGTTGCCCCAGGCACTCTGGGCAGCTACCAACACATATAAAAACATAATAAAACATTAAACATTTAAAAACTTCCCTATACAGGGCTGCCTTCAGATATCTTCTAAAAATTGTGTAGTTACTTATCTCCTTAGCTCGGGGGGGGGGGGGGTCACATAAATCCATACCCTCCAACATTTCTCTGATGAAAATAAGGCTGTCATAAGGAAAAATAAGGGACACGGGTGGCACTGTGGGTTAAACCACAGAGCCTAGGACTTGCCGATCTGAAGGTCGGCAGTTCGAATCACCGGGACGGGATGAGCTCCCGTTGCTCGGTCCCTGCTCCTGCCACCTTAGCAGTTCAAAAGCACTTCAAAGTGCAAGTAGATAAATAGGTACCACTCTGGCGGGTAGGTAAACGGTGTTTCTGTGCGCTGCTCTGGTTCACCAGAAGCGGCTTAGTCATGCTGGCCACATGACCCAGAAGCTGTACGCTGGCTCCCTCGCCCAATGAAGCGAGATGAGCGCCGCAACCCCAGAGTCGGTCACGACTGGACCTAATGGTCAGGGATCCCTTTACCTTTACCTTAAGGAAAAGTAGAACATTCTGGGATCAAATCAGAAACGGGGGTAGCTTCTGTAAATCTGGGACTGTCCCTGGAAAATAGGGACACTTGGAGGGTCTGCATGAGTGGCCAGAAGAACGTGGAAGGTGACTGAAGCAGCTGTTTCATCTTTTGGGGTGGGGTGATGTGAAACTATTACAATAAGCAGTGGCGTAGCGTGGGTTGTCAGCACCCGGGGCAAGGCAAGTAATTTGCGCTCCCTAACCCGTGGATTTGCGCTCCCTAACCTGTGGGTTTGCGCCCCCTAACCCTAACCCGGTGCGCCCGGTGCGGCCGGTGTTGCGCCCGGTGCGGCCGGCCCCCCCTGCACCCCCCACGCTACGCCACTGACAATAAGCATTGTAAAAGCTAAGCTGCTAAGCCACAGTAGACCCTAATCATCTCCAGGGGAACATAAGCTCACACAAGCTAAATTAGCATAAGCAAAATCTATGTTGCAAATAACATAGCAGGAAAAACAGAAGTGAAGGGGAAACGAAAGATTAGCACCTACTTCTGTTTTCTTTTCTTTTTTTTAAAAAAAATATACAGCAACATGAAGTAGAGAATGAAACTCAAATAAGACAGAGCCTAAGACAGAAGGACATCCACTCTTTAAAAAATTCTTTTCAATAGCAAATAACATGCATGCATTTGCTTTTTTTAGTCAGGTTTCGCATTGTGAGGCTTGATGAAGAATTTAAGGCCATTGATGAAACGGTGAGTATTACTCCCGGTATCACAAGGAGCGAAGGCTTTCCATTCAAGGTCTGTGCAGAAACATTCATACCAGAAGGGTATTAGCGGATTAGCGCTATTAGCGGCTTAGCGGATCAGCTGATAAGCGGATTAGCGGATCAGCTGATAAGCGGCTTAGCGGATCAGCTGATAAGCGGCTTAGCGGATCAGCTGATAAGCGGCTTAGCGGATCAGCTGATAAGCGGCTTAGCGGATCAGCTGATAAGCGGCTTAGCGATCAGCTGTTTAGGGCTTAGCGGATCAGCTGTTAAGCGGCTTAGCGGATCAGCTGTTAAGCGGCTTAGCGGATCAGCTGATAAGCGGCTTAGCGGATCAGCTGATAAGCGGCTTAGCGGCTTGGGGGAAAGGGGGGGAGGAAAAAAACCCTGCAGGAACTCACAAGACATTTTCGTCTTGCGAAGCAAGCCCATAGGAAATTCGTTTTGCGAAGCACCTCCAAAACGGAAAACCCTTTCGTCTAGCAGGTTTTCCGTCTTGCGAGGCATTCATCTTGCGGGGCACCACTGTAATGCAGGGGGACGCACACACCAAATCGGTGTTGGGTGGAAGGAACGATCCTCCCCGGGCACTATCGTGGGAACTGGAGGAACACTTGTCATTTGAATGCTGATACAGTGGTACCTCGGGTTACAGATGCTTCAGGTTACAGACTCCGCTAACCCAGAAATAGTACCTCAGGTTAAGAACTTTGCTTCAGGATAAGAACAGAAACCGCTTGGTGGCAGTGGGAGGCCCCATTAACTAAAGTGGTACCTCAGGTTAAGAACAGTTTCAGGTTAAGAATGGACCTCCGGAGCAAACTAAGTCCTTAATCCGAGGTATCACTGTGTCTGAAAAACAGGAAAGTGCTAGTTTAAACAGTTTATGGAACAGACAATAGCAGGACAAGCTTCGCCTTGCCATTCCGGAGGAAAGTTTGGAATGGAATGAGTTGCCAACAAAAGTGGATTCTCTGCCAAAACGGAAGGAGTGAAAGACGGCCACTTCAGAAAAAGGGGTCTCTTACACTAAATGCTCATAGCCAACAGAATCATAGAATGTAACTAAGCCAGGCTTCCTCAACCTCAGCCCTCCAGATGTTTTGAGACTACAATTCCCATCATCCCTGACCACTGGCTCTGCAAGCTAGGGATCATGGGAGTTGTAGGCCAAAAACATCTGGAGGGCCAAGGTTGAGGAAGCCTGAACTAAGCTGTATAAAGAGTGTAAACACACCATCAAAACCTGTGCAGGATTTGGAATTTGATTCCCCTGTAGCTTCTTAAGGTAAAGGTAAAGGTACCCCCGCCCGTACGGGCCAGTCTTGACAGACTCTAGGGTTGTGCGCCCATCTCACTCAAGAGGCCGGGGGCCAGCGCTGTCCGGAGACACTTCAGGTCACGTGCCAGCGTGACATCGCTGCTCTGGCGAGCCAGAGCCGCACACGGAAACACCGTTTACCTTCCCGCTAGTAAGCGGTCCCTATTTATCTACTTGCACCCGGGGGTGCTTTCGAACGCTAGGTTGGCAGGCGCTGGACCGAGCAACAGGGATACGTGCAGGCGGCGGATTGGATCGACCGGACCTTTCGATCGGCAAGCCCTAGGCACTGAGGCTTTTACCCAAGCGCCACCCGCGTCCCTCCCTGTAGCTTCTTACTGCAAACTAAATAAATCCTCTTATTCCCCCACCACCCACCCTGGTGTGGTTTTATTGGGCTTGCCACCAAAGCATTGGACCTTCTGTCTCACAACAATTCTGGCAACGTGGGGTGGCTCTTTTGTTCACCCTTAGTGTCCAGAAGTGGCTCGAGTGAAGAACTTGCAGCCGCCATCTCTTAGCGCACACCAAACTGATTATTTGGAAGATCTGCCATGAGATGATGATGATGATGATGATAATGCTAATGATGATGATGGTGGTGGTAATAATAATAATGATGATAATTATTTTATTCTTTATACCCCGCCCATCTGGCTGGGTTTCCCGGCAACTCAGGGCGGCTCCCAACAGGGCACTAACAATAGAATAAAAACTTCAAACATTAAAAACTTCCCTAAACAGGGCTGTCTTCAGATAGTTGTTTCAATCAATCAATAGACTTTATTTGCGTAGCTGACAGGCCATAGCATCAAAGGATGAACACCGACAAAAATACATTACAATATAGTTACCATAAAATCTTATGACCTATTAAAACCCTAGGTAGAAGCTGGATTATCATTCATCAATGACCCTCTGTCCCATGGGCGGCGGCCTTTTCTCTGGTAGATTGTTCCAGGTCTGTTAAGTAAATAGACCAGCCAAATTGAAAGATTATAAATATAAATATACACCGTATTTTTCCCTCTATAACACGCAGATTTTTTCTCCTAAAAAGGAAGGGGAAATGTCTGTGCGTGTTATAGAGCGAATGTGTGGTCCCTGGAGCCAAAAAAAATCAAGCAAAAGTCCAAATCGCTTCCTTCCACGGAGAAGGGAAACCTGAAAAGAGGAAGTGGCAGCTTTCCTGCATTCTGCCTCAGGGTCTTACTGCCCACCCTCCTCTGTTTCGTTGCTGTGATTGCTGAAACGGAACAAAGAGCAGGGAAAGCCCCTCCCCTCCAAGGCAAAGCAGAGTGTCCTTTCTTTCTAATTCCTCTCTGTGCTCCGGTGCTGCTGGGGGAGAGGGAGGAGGAGTGGGGGAGGGAGAGGGAGAGGGGGGAGGGAGAGGGAGAGGGGGAGGGAGAGAGAGGGGAGGAGGAGAGAGAGAGAGAGAGAGAGAGAGAGAGAGAGAGAGAGAAGAGAGAGAGAGAGAGAGATGGCTGGCTTGGGGGGAACTTTCCAGCATTCTTAGCCAGCTGCTTCTCTGCACACCCCTCTCATGTCCCTTCTTTGTTTTTCCTTCGCTCCCCACTTAAAATGTGGTTACAAAGCATAGATCAACATGGATCCTCAGGATCTTTGCATTGGGTCACCCCAAATTCACCATCAGATCACATAGCATGTCCATGGCTACAGCCTGCACCAAAAAAATCACGCACCCACTGTTGCCTGGGGCTGCAATGGTGCAAAAACGTGGTTAAAAAGCATGGATCCACATGGATCCTCAGGATCTTTGCATTGGGTCACCCCAAATTCACCATCAGATCACATAGCATGTCCATGGCTACAGCCTGCACCAAAAAAAGCACACACCCACTGTTGCCTGGGGCTGCAATGGTGCAAAAATGTGGTTACAAAGCATGGATCCACAGCGATTCTCAGGATCTTTGCATTGGGTCACCCCAAATTCACCATCAGATCACATAGCATGTCCATGGCTACAGCCTGCACCCAAAAATCACGCACCCACTGTTGCCTGGGGCTGCAATGGTGCAAAAACGTGGTTACAAAAGCATGGATCCACAGGAATTCTCAGGATTTTTGCATTGGGTCACCCCAAATTCACCATCAGATCACATGTCTGTGGCCACAGCATGAAGCACAAAAATGATACATCCACTGTTTCATTCAGAATGTTTTTTCCCTTGTTTTCCTCCTCTAAAAACGATGTGCGTGTTATGGTCAGGTGCGTGTTATAGAGCGAAAAATACGGTAACCTCGGAGGGATGGTCAGGACAGGGAGAAAGATAATAATAACCAGATGCAGATAAATTAATAATCACAGTACTTAAAACTTGGCAGAGGTAATAAAATAATAATAATAAACATAATGATAATAGTAATAAGATCCTAGGCGAGGAATCCAGGTGACGACACTGATGTCATTCAGATAGCAGCTCTCAGTCTCACTGCTCTCTCGGTAAATTTGGCAACCTTCTCTGTTGTCGAGCTGTTCTGGTCGGCTAGGAGTGAGAACAATTTGGCTTCACAAGAGCGGCCCAGGATGGCAGATAGGAGCGGCGTGATGGTCTCGTCCCTGAGATCTTTATATAGGGAGCAAGACAAGAGAACATGTGACACAGTCTCTACGTAGCCAGCTCCACAGGGGCAGAGCTGGTTCTCAAATGAAATTTTTGATATCTACCTTCAAGAACAGCTGAGGGTAACATATTTAGTCTGGCCAGTGTAAAGGCCCGTCTGAGTTTTGGAATGGTTAAGGTAGACAAATAAGGTGCCCGAAAATCAAAGTGGGAGGGGGGCAGATAAGCGTACCAAGCACTAAATTTCTTAATATAGGCCAGATTATTCTGCTGCTCAATATCCTTCATGCGCTGGTCAATAATGGTTTTCGCCTTGGGGAGACCAGATAGTTGCTTATTTTCTTGACATCTGGTGGGAGGGCGTTCCACGGGGTGGGAGCCACTACTGAGAAGGCCCTCTCAAACTTTTCACCCTCTGGCCAAGAGCAGGGGGGAACTTACTAGTTGGAGCCAAAGAGACCTGTGCAGACTGAGGGAAGAAGATGAACCTAAGTCCTGAAATGACAGAGTTTTTATGTGTCCCATGTTCTCACATTCAGGAGGTGGGGAAGAAGATAGCTCTGGGTGGGTTTGTACTCCCCTGGAAGGAAGTTAGGGGCTGTGTTGCTTACAGGAAGGGTAAATTCTCTGCTCTGGCCCTCCAACCCACCCCCTTACTTTGCAATTGCTATTACTCCAAAGTTAGCCCTCCTCAGAGCAAACCCAGTCAAACTTATGGACATGACTAACTTAGGTACATTAATTTCACTGGGTCTTCTCTTATTGAATTCTACTCTAATCCTTGACCCCAGGGCTGCAGGCACCATTGGCCAAGATTCCAAGGAGGTGCCATGCCCCAATCTGGTGTGCTCTCTCTCACATAGTGGAACAGGAGGTGTGCACATGCACACACACAGGTCCATCAAGCAATCTGGGAATCCATCAAGCAATGACTGGGAAGGGAGGCCTATCAATCAATAACCACAATGGCTATGCTCTGCCCTCCACAGTTGGAGCCACTAAATGCTTCCGAATACCAGTTGTTGGAAATCACAGGAGGGGAAAGGGCTCTTGTGCTCGAATCCTGCTCCCTGGTTAACCACAGGCACCCGTTTGGCAACTGTGAGAGCAGGATGGACGGGAATCCCCTCAAGCAAACTGTCCTCAAACTGTCATGCATTGCTGAAGTTCTGTGTCAAATCTGGGTGTGGTGAGAGGTGCTCTGAGGTAAAATTCCAGTTCTGTGGGTGGATTCAGTGAGGGCACACTTATTTCTCATGATGTAATGAATTCTCCCCTCCCCCCCCCACACAAATTGCACAATTATCACTTTTGCAGTCCCTCAGTAGTTGAAATACAGCACGTGATGAACATACTTACAGTGGTACCTCGGGTTACATACGCTTCAGGTTACAGACTCCGCTAACCCAGGAATAGTGCTTCAGGTTAAGAACTTTGCTTCAGGATGAGAACAGAAATTGTGCTCCAGCGCTGCCGCGGCAGCAGGAGGCCCCATTAGCTAAAGTGGTGCTTCAGGTTAAGAACAGTTTCAGGTTAAGAACGGGCCTCTGGAACGAATTAAGTACTTAACCTGAGGTACCGTTGTATATGATAACATCCTGGCAGTCCATAGGGTATTTTCACACATACCTTTGAAAAATTTCTTACCTTTTCATCATAGATCGGTCTATTATCATGAATCAAGGGCCTGTGAAAGGCAAATGTGCTGACCAGGGCCAGTCCTGGGATCAAGAGCAGGGCTTGTATGGTTTGGCAATGGGTCTCTCACTCTCAGTCAGAACTGGGAAGCTAAAGGGTTGACTCAGCCCTGCAATAACCACTGGCTTTATAATCCCTTCCAGTGGCGTAGCGTGGGGGGTGCAGGGGGGCCGGCCGCACCGGGCGCAACATCTGGGGTTAGGGCAAATCCACGGGTTAGGGGGCGCAAATCCACAGGTTAGGGGGCGCAAATCCACGGGTTAGGGGGCGCAAATTACTTGCCTTGCCCCGGGTGCTGACAACCCACGCTACGCCGCTGATCCCTTCTTAAGGTTTTGCCATGCAGCAGAAGGAGGGAGCTCTACGCAGAGAGAACAGGATTGTCTTGAGAGGGAATCATTACTTGGAGACAGGGCAGGGGCATCATCCCCTGAAAACTCAGATATGTTCAGTATACCAGTATACAGTGATTTGTTCTTCAAGCTGCTGGTGGCTTCCAACAAAAGATTAAAAAGACACTAAAACGTCAGATATTAAAAACTTCCCTAAACAGGGCTGCCTTCAGATGCCTTCTAAACATCAGATAGTTGTTTATTTCTTTGACATCTGATGAGAGGGTGTTCCACAGGGCAAGAGGAAATTGCGGGCACACGCACTAAACTCTGTCTGTGGTGCCTACCCCTTTACCCCAAATGATGAGACAAGAGACCAGAGTATGGGTTCAAATTGGCCACAACTTTATTGCGCTTCAGAAGTGGGAAACTTGGCACAGGCCTTGGCAGGTAACCCTCTCAGCCCGCCTGGCTGAGGATATGCAGGCAGATGAGGTCCAGTGAGAGGGGACTGCAAAGCGCAAACTTACACAGCATGCCCTTCCATCAACCTCGTCCCAGGAGTTGGACCTACATGCCGCTGCTCTAGGGCCAGGGACTCCCAGTTTTTGCCATTTAACGGGCCCTGCAAGCGCCACCGCATGGGGAGGGAGCATGAATGCATCCCCCCCGACTTGATGTTAGACTAAAGGATACCTTGCCAAGGCCTAAAACCGCCATAGTTGTGACAAAATACTACGTGGAAGGCGAAACCTGCCAATGCAGGGAAAATTCCTTCCCGGTTCTGAATACAGCAACCATCTTACGACTGCAGCAGGACCCGCTTGTGATAGGAATTTTGAGGTCTTAGATACAGTGGTGCCTCGCAATACGAAAAGAATCCGTTCCGCGATTCTCTTCGCCTAGCAGTTTTTTTGTCTTGCGAAGCAACCCCATTAGCGGCTAAGCGGATTAGCGCTATTAGCGATTTAGCGCTATTAGCGGCTTAGCGGCTAAGCTGTTAAAAGGCTATTAACGGCTTAGCAGCTTTGAAAAAGGGGGGGAAAGCGGGGGGGGAAATGGCGAGACTCGCAAGACGTTTTCGTCTTGCGAAGCAAGCCCATAGGGAAATTCGTCTTGCGAAGCGCCTCCGCAACGGAAAACCCTTTCGTCTTGCGGGTTTTTCGTCTTGCGAGGCATTCGTCTTGCGGGGCAGCACTGTATATGTTAAATGTTCATAAGTGTACCAACCAAGCACATACATATATCAGCACAGGAAAACCGACCTGGAACCATTTTGATTCCCAAACTGTCCCAAAGTGACCAAATGTTTTTCTCTGAAAGGTCAAAGGAAAATGGAAAAGCATCCCCATTGTCTTTTCTTTCACAAATCCTGTCTTAAGGGTATGTCTGTGTTTGAATATTTGACCAAACTGCGGGAGGCAGTGGAAGACAGAAGTGCCTGGCGTGCTCTGGTCCATGGGGTCACGAAGAGTTGGACACGACTAAACGACTAAACAACAACAACAACAACGTGTTTGAATAGGGTGTGAGCCTGTGACATGGCCCAGGAACTAAGTATTTATCATTACAAAAGACTGGCCAGGCTCCCCAGGAAATCCAATCAAGTAACCTGCCAGACAGGAGATAAACAAGGATAGGAGAAAAACAACATTCAAATTTCTGTTTAGACCGCCTTTTTGTGATGTAGGTGTGATGTATCTGAGGGGTGGTCTTGGGTTGCACCCCTTCTGTGATGTATGTATGATGTTTCTGGGGGTGGTCTTTCTGGGGGTGTGGCAATTTCAAAAGTCTTTATAAGGCCTTGCGCACCATTTTTCTGGGTTCCTCCTCTCTCCTGCGGGTGAGGGGAGCACCCTGTTGCAACAGATCAATAAAGATCAAGCTTACTAGCTGCTTTGCTTCTCAGTATTCTCTGGTCGCCCTCTGTTATTCTCTCCTACCAATAGGGAACCTATGTAAGGACTCTCTATGGGCTCTTGGATACCCCATAAGGGAAAAGGGCAATTTTTGTTTACAACACGCTGACCTGGAAAGAAAAATATTAGCCTGTAAGGAAAGACTCATTAACTTGAAGACCGCTGACCTAAGATGAAATTATGGAGGCAATAAATTATTAATTTGAGGGAGGGTGGGTGGGCGATCCTGGAAGGAAGAACAGCAAAAGAGGCTTGGACAACAGAATTGGCCTCTTTTCTTTTAGCCTTAGGTCCACCCCTGGCTGGCCGTCCATTGTCCTCCCTGGCCAAGGGCGGGTCAAAGTCCGACCCAAGCAGGTAGGTGGCACCCACCCAGGTGAGCCCCGCTCGGTGCCACAAACCCCGCCCACCTGTGGGGAAGGGAGGGCAGATATTATCTCTTCAGGCCTTGCACACATGTGAGTGGCAACGCCCCAAGGCCTTTATCCCTGAAGCTGGTTTGTGAGTTGGTCAAAGAACAGAAGGATCACTTGGTTAGGTGGGAAGAAAGGAACAAAGGACCAAATGCCCAAATTTAGAAGATCTTTTCTAAAGAGCTGGGTCTTCTTTTTCAGGTGGCCACCCTAGAGGGAAAGGGGGGGTGGACCCAGCCCCAGGTCTGTGAAGAGATTTTGAAAGGGTTAACAGTTGAGAGTCAGCTGGGAGAGGATGGAATCAGTGGGTGCTCCTTGGGGGCTGGAGGGGAAAGTGTTCAGCAAGGAAAAATGAGAGACAGTAAAGGGTTGAGGAGTTGGAAAGGGATTACAGTGGTGCCTCGCAAGACGAAAAGAATCCGTTCCGCGAGTCTCTTCTTCTTGCGGTTTTTTCGTCTTGCGAAGCAAGCCCATTAGCGGATTAGCGGATTAGCGCTATTAGCAGCTTAGCGGGCTTAGCGGATCAGCTGTTAAGCGGCTTAGCGGATCAGCTGATAAGCAGCTTAGCGGATCAGCTGTTTAGCGGCTTAGCGGATCAGCTGATAAGCGGCTTAGCGATCAGCTGTTAAGCGGCTTAGCGGCTTAGCGGATCAGCTGTTAAGCGGCTTAGCGGATTAGCTGATAAGTGGCTTAGTGGCTTGGGAAAAAGGGGGGGAGGGAAAAACCCCTGCAGGAACTCGCAAGACATTTTCGTCTTGCGAAGCAAGCCCATAGGAAATTCGTTTTGCGAAGCACCTCCAAAACGGAAAACCCTTTCGTCTAGCGGGTTTTCCGTCTTGCGAGGCATTCGTCTTGCGGGGCACCACTGTATTGTATGGCAGGGAGAATTCAGTTCCTATCTTAATGTGCACCTATCTAGTTCTCCCTTGGGTGACCAAAACACAGCTTGTCCTTTGAAACATATGGTTTTTGAAGTGCAGCAATCCAACCCCACAATGCGTATATTTGGGGAATGCAAATATTTCACAAAAGTCTGCAAAAAAATGCAGATATCTGCGAGAACATCGTACACAGATGCAATATTTATTGGGGGGAAATGCATTGCAAAAATGTGAGAATTGTTAGGAATTGCTTTTGTTTTCCACTGTTTATGGTGTGAATGTAATTTGTATTTCTCCTTAATTGTGGTGCTTTTGTAACCCACCCTGGGACTTTCTGCTGAAGGATGTGCTAATAAATAAATAAATAAATGCTGGAGTTTCGTTTGTTACCATGAGCCCTTTCTGGGGAATAGAAAGTGAAACAAAGAATGCTTCGTATATAAGAAGCAACAAGTCCAGATGCAGGAAGCACAGCAAGATGGATCAACAGCTGCCGACAAGAAGAGGTAAAATTCCAGTTCTGTGGGTGGATTCAGTGAGGGCATGCTTTTTTCCTCATGAATTGTCATGAATTCTCAATGAATTCTCACCTACCGCCCGCCCCCCATTGCACAATTATCATTTTTGCAGTCCCCCAGTAGTTGAAATGCAGCATGTGATGAACATACTATATGTGGGCGGCTCTGTGGTCTAAACCACTGAGCCTCTTAGGCTTGCCGATCGGAAGGTCAGCGGTTCGAATCCCTACAATCCTCGTTGGCCCAAGTAGGACAAATTCAGCCAGCTAGCCCTGGTGATTATCTAATGCTTATTAGATGGATTTCCCCTAAATTGATTTCTGAACTTTTAATTTTATTGTTATTCATGTTTTTATACTGTATTTTATGCTGCTTTTACAATAAGTGTTTTAAATTTGTTGTTAGTCACCCTGAGCCCAGTTTTTGAACCGGGAAGGGCGGGGTATAAATAAATTATTTTATTATTATTATTATTATTATTATTATTATTATTATTATTATTATTACTGTTATTATTATTACAATGGGGTGAGCTCCCGTTGCTCTGTCCCAGCTCCTACCAACCTAACAGTTCGAAAGCACGCCAGTCCAAGTAGTTAAATTTGTACCTCTGTGGCGGGAAGGTAAATGTCGTTTCCATGCATTCTGGCTTCCATTATGGTGTTCCATTATGCCAGAAGTTTAGTCATGCTGGCCACGTGATCTGGAAAGCTGTCTGTGGACAAACGCCGGCTCCCTCGGCCTAAAAACGAGATGAGCACCACAACCCCATAGTCACCTTTGACTGGACTTAACCACCCAGGGGTCCTTTACCTTTACCTTTACTATTTGACAGCACGTCCAACTCCCAAGAGATTGTGATCTACTTACAGTGTAAAAAAACGGACAGTGATCTACCCATTGTCATTGGAGTTCTTGAGCTTTTTTTAGGAGGGAGTGGCCAGAGTTGTTGAGCTTTTGCTAAGGATCCCGTGATTGACAAGGATCAACAGGTGATCTACCGGTTGGACATGCCTGCTATATGATAACATCCTGGCAGTCCATAGGGTATTTTCACACTTGAGACTTAGAGGCTGTAGTTCAGTCAGATGTGTAATAGGAAGATATAGCCTACATTAACCAGAATACTGTAAAGAGAAGAGGTTGCCTTACAGTCAGATCCTGCCTGTGAAATTACATCATGTACTGTATGCATATATGTGTATGATCTTGCAGATAAAGCTGTTTGGCTTAAAGCTCAATCAGACTTCCACTTGTCCTGCCACTTTCTCCTGGGGAAACCTAGTCTTTACTGCTGAATCGCAGGGCAAACAGCAAACCACTTGGACCCGTGCTTCCTAGACACGGGACAAGGAGAAGTGTTGACAAGCCCATATATATGCAACTTCGTCAATATATATTGTCTGTCTGTCGGTATGTCTGTATATAATCCATGAGCAGATCATAGTGCAATAAGAAGTATTTTTGCTGGTTGTCACCTATGATTGCACCAGCACCATTCTGTAGTCCTTGAAATGCTTTGTGGGTCTTCTGTTTTGCAGCTGTATTGCCCTACATTCTGATTTATAGCCATTTCAAAATTCCCTCTATGTGGTCTTTGGCTTCCGACATTCAGTACAAATCATACAGGAAAAGGGAAGTCAAACAGAAAACTTGTCATAATGGCGTTGTACACGCTTAAATGTCATCGATTTCAGTATGCGTGCATAACTGTGCATTGCCTTGTGGCCACTATTTTTAAAGTGACAATTCTTTAGAAGGTTTGAAAAGTCATGTTGTTTAATTGTGTAATTTACTTCCAACAGGTCCATTAGTCAGAGGCAACAACCATAGGTAAGAAAGGCAATTTTGTATATTGCACTCGAAACATAGAAAGCAACTCAGTCGTTCAGCCCGGACACTGAGGTCCAGCTCTGAGGGCCTTCTGGTGGTTCCCTCACTGCGAGAAGTGAGGTTACAGGGAACCAGGCAGAGGGCCTTCTTGGTGGAGGTGCTCACCCTGTGGAACGCCCTCCCATCAGATGTCAAGGAGATAAATAACTATACAACCTTTAGAAGACATAGGGAAGTTTTTAATGTTTAATGTTTTACAGTGGTACCTCAGGTTAAGCACTTAATTCACTCCAGAGGTCCGTTCTTAACCTGAAACTATTCTTAACCTGAAGCACCACTTTAGCTAATGGGGCCTCCTGCTGCTGCTGCGCCGCCGGAGCACGATTTCTGTTCTCATCCTGAAGCAAAGTTCTTAACCCGAGGTACTATTTCTGGGTTAGCGGAGTCTGTAACCTGAAGCGTATGTAACCTGAAGCGTATGTAACCCGAGGTACCAATGTATTATGTTTCTGTATATGCTGGGAACTGCCCAGAGTGGCTGGGGCAAGCCAGTCAGATGGGTGGGGTACTAATAATAATAATAATTTACATTGAGGAGGCAGAAGCACTAAGAACCAGCTTCAAACAAATTATGTGGTAACCAGAAGTATCAGATATTTCTCTTTGCAAATGTCCACTTCTGCAAATGTACAGTAGTTCTGATCCTTTTTCTGTCAGTTTTTGTTTTTGCCTTTTCATTGCGTTTCTTTACCTTTCTGAATCATAAAATCATAGAGTTGGAATAGACCACAAGGGCCATCGAGTCCAACCCCCTGCCAAGCAGGAAACACCATCAGAGCACTCCTGACATATGGTTGTCAAGCCTCTGCTTAAAGACCTCCAAAGAAGGAGACTCCACCACACTCCTTGGCAGCAAATTCCACTGTCGAACAGCTCTTATTGTCAGGAAGTTCTTCCTAATGTTTAGGTGGAATCTTCTTTCTTGTAGTTTGGATCCATTGCTCCGTGTCCGCTTCTCTGGAGCAGCAGAAAACAACCTTTCTCCCTCCTCTATATGACATCCTTTTATATATTTGAACATGGCTATCATATTAGAACATGCTGGTTTGAACATGGCTATTCTGTTTCTGAGTCGTGTTAGTGTCAGGGACTGGGCAGAGGAAGAATGGTAGAGACCTCCCCTGCCTGACCCCTCCAGAGAAGAAGAAGATAGTTCAGAATTACAACAGGGGTTTGAGGGATGTCACAGCTCAGAGGCAAATGAGGTGGGAAGCTGGGAAATAATGGGGGGGGGGGGAGGAGGAAGAGGAAGCACCAGGAGGGCAACAACTGACGGACACAGTGTCTTTAGAAAGCATTCCAGACCCTCTATCTCCCAGAATCCAGTGAGCCTTGAAAGTAGGAGAGCAAAGAGCTTAGAGGCAGAGGGCACAAAGCAGCACCCGTAGAAGTGATAGATGAGGAAGTGGGAGAGACGGGGGGCGGGAGATTCACTCAGGGGAACGCCATTATTCCAAGAGTCTGAGTCGTGTCTGACTGGTATTGGGGTTCTTTAGTGAGGAGTTACATAGCAGGTATAAATAATAAAATTATCATCATCATCATCATCATCTGTGCAATAGATCACTCCACTGAGTAAACTCACTGCAACATCCTGCACCAGTGACAGCTTCTGGATCAGTCCTAAGGGAAGCCCTATGTAGATTAAGTACATTAAAGGTAAAGGTAAAGGTACCCCTGCCCGTACGGGCCAGTCTTGACAGACTCTAGGGTTGTGCGCTCATCTCGCTCTAGAGGCCGGGAGCCAGCGCTGTCCGCAGACACTTCCGGGTCACATGGCCAGCGTGACGAAGCTACTCTGGCAAGCCAGAGCCGCACACGGAAACGCCGTTTACCTTCCCGCTAGTAAGCGGTCCCTATTTATCTACTTGCACCCGAGGGTGCTTTTGAACTGCTAGGTTGGCAGGCGCTGGGACCGAGCAACGGGAGCGCACCCCGCCACGGGGGATTCGAACCGCCGACCATACAATCGGCAAGTCCGAGGCGCTGAGGTTTTACCCACAGCGCCACCTGCGTCCCTACATTAAGTACATTACAGTAAGACAATTTAGAGATTACCAGTGCATAAGTCACAGTGGCCAGGCAAGCCTGGTCCAGGAACAGTTGTAGCTGAAATAGCAGCCAAAGGTGGAAGAAGACACTTCTGGTCACTAATAGCTGCTTGGGCTTCCAAAGACAAAAATGAATCAAGGAGCACTCCCAGGCTGCATACTAATCCATTTAGGAGGGATTCAAATCCAGGCAGTTCGGGCACATTACTCCTAGACTGGGAACCACCCAGCCATAGGAACCAGACTTCCCAGGATCCAGTTTCAGCTAATTGTCCATTATTGCATCCAGACACTGGTTCGGAAAATGCATGGCCTCATGTGATTCGGATATTGATGAGTGATGAAATGCTGCCTGTCTGTTGTCTCATTTGCCCTAAAGGTGGCAACTCGAACCAGATGTGTTTTGGCGGAATTACACCCCTATAGGACGACCGGAGCGTACTCATCTCCTGTATGAAATCCGGTGGGGACGAAGTCGCAGGTACTGGAGAAACTGGTGTACAAGCAACCGCACCCACCATGCTGAAATCAACTTTTTGGAAAATGCCTGCGAGGAGATAGACCGTCGGACAACCACCCCATGCACTGTCACTTGGTTTCTAACATGGAGTCCTTGTGGTAAATGTAGTGGCCGTATAAAGCAGTTCTTGCAGGAACACCCAAATGTGACCCTGAAGATATGTGCTGCACAATTATACAAACAAAATTACAGGTTCAATCAGAAAGGCCTCAGGGACTTGGCTAATTTTGGAGTCCGGATATACATCATGCAACTGGCTGGTAGGTTGCTAGCTTAATTTATAATTAGCAAATGGATGGTGGACAAAAGACTAGGCAGGGGGTTGGTAAACAATACGTCTTGTATGGCAAACCTGTTTCCCCCAAAGTTCATACCTTTTGTGTCAGGGACTGGACTGAACAGGAAGGTTGGGAAGTGTCCTCTTAGTCTGCTTGGCTCCTCTTGGGAGAAGAGGGGGAGTGGGAAGGTTCACCCCCCTTGTCTCCAGCAGTTACAAGTGGAGAAGGAGACAAGGTTGAAATACAGCTGAATGAAGAGTTGCCTAGTTGTGAGATGGTAGAGGAGGTGGAGGGAGGGAGGGAGGGAGCAGCCAGCAGAGACCTCCCTGGAGAGTCTGAGGGAACCTCCTTCTCCAAGGAGAAGAACAGAGAATGCAGAGGAGTGTGACTCAGGAAGTTGTTGGGGATGGAAGAGGACGGACTCAGAGTAGGCAATGTCTCCTTTGCATGGAGACATGGATTCTTTGTCTTGCACCCAGATGACTGAATAAAAATGATAAATAAGAATTTGCTTCTTCTTCCTGCCTTTGATGCTACCAGAGGAGAAGGGTATTCTCTATGCCTGACATATTACAAGAAGGAAATTATGGGAGATTGGGTTTTCCATGGGTTGACATTTGCTCTGATTCAGCAGTAAACAGCAGCGTAGCATCGTTTGCTGGTGCCCGGGGCATTCAGGCATCAGGTGGGGCACAGAGGGTGAACGGAGCCCGCCACACCGGCCCAGTCCTCACCCCTAGAACCAAGCAGGGCTGTGCTGTGCCTCCTGCCCACCTGTGCAGGGGGGAACCCGGACAGGTGACGTGGCCCTTGGCAAGTGAATCCACGGATGCCCATGGAGAGGAACACTGGGCCGGGCCATGCTGACGTCACCCCTTGCCTGCTTCCCTACACCTGTACCCGTGGCCACTCACCATCCAAGGGAGGAATGAGCGAGTGCTAGCCAGGCAGCCATTCAGTAAGGGGGCCAGGGACATGGTGGTGAGGCCAGGCTGGACTCTGGAGCCCAGGGACCTCCATCAGCAGGCAGGCCCAACAGGCATCCCTGCATGGGGGTGCCTGGTTTGTGCCCCCTCAAAATTGTGTGCCCAGGACCATGGCCTCTCTTGCCCTCCCCCCAAATGCTACACCACTGGCAATATATAGTGTGGTTTTCGGAGGGAGGGTTGTGGGACAAAGGCAAAATCATAATAATAATAATAATAATAATAATAATAATAATAATAATAATTTATTATTTATACCCTGTCCATCTGGCTGGGCTTCCCCAGCCACTCTGGGCGGCTTCCAACAAAACACTAAAATACAATAACCTATTAAACATTAAAAGCTTCCTTAAACAGGGCTGCCTTCATATGTCTTCTAAAAGTTTGGTAGTTGCTTTTCTCTTTGACATTTGGTGGGAGGGCGGATGCCACTACCAAGAAGGCCCACTGCCTCGTTCCCTGTAACTTGGCTTCTCACAGTGAGGGAACCGCCAGAAGGCCCTTGGCACTGGACCGAGGCCATTTAGGACTTTAAAGGTCAGAACCACCACTTTGAACTGTGCTCGGAAACCACTTGGACCCATGCTTTCTAGACACAGGACAAGCAGAAGGGCGGACAAGCCCTTAGACTGACAACCTATTTATTCCCTCAGATTATTTATATTGTTGGATAACATTTGTGGCTCACCAAAGGAATGAAGACTACATTCCGTCACTGTGGGATTTCTTGCCTTCAATAGAGTTTTATTCCCAAGAACTGGACTCCATCCTCAGGTAAGTTCTACTTTGAAAGAGATGAGTCCTAAACGTGTGAAATTTCCTTGAGTGAACTTGCCAACCCTTCCATACTGTTATTCCCAAACTGCCTGTAGCTACTTTTAGGAGGAGGAGGAAAAAGACTCCCTGGGTGTCTGGGCTGCCCGAGCTTTTGATAGAGCCGCCCCAATCCTTTTGCCTCTAACTTCTGCCCACTAGTATCCTATGAACCTTGCTCCTTTTCTCTCTGCAACAGCTGTTATAGAAGTATCCTGCTCCACCCTAAACTCTCCAACTTCATCTCTCTTCACAGGCCTTTCTGAGTTATCCCAGGTGCTGTGGACCATTACCTTCTGTCATCAGAGGATCTGTGATCTCCTTAACAGCAGAAAGTTCTGATGATTCTTTGCCAAGCCTTAAATATCTGTATATTTCATGGGCAAACTAGATGCGATAACAAATACATTTATAAGGACATTGAACAATGATGGGCCCAGGACAGCACCCCACTTGTCACTTTTTCCCAGGATGACAAGGAAGCATTAATGAGCAGTCTTTGGGTTCGGCCAGCCAACCAGCTACAAATCTACCTAACAGTTACCTCGTTCAACCCACGTTTTACAAACTGCCTCCCAAGAATATCATGAGGGATTTTGTCAAAGGCCTTACTGAAATCAAGATACACTATGTCCACAGCATTCCCCTGATCCACCATGCTTGTAACTCTGTCAGAAAAAGATATGAGCGTCGTCTGGCATGACTTGTTTTTGAGAAACCCATGCTGGGTCTTAGTAATCACAGCATCCTTTTCTAAGTGCTCACAGACCGACTGCTGAATTATCTTTTCTAGGACATATTCTGGTATCGATGTCAAGCTCAAATTTGTGGAGGACAAGGCTTTCATTGGCTGCTAGGCAAGATGTCCTTGTTCCACCTCCTCTGTCAGAGGCAGTATGCCTCTGAATTGCAGTTGCTGGGAATCACCAGTGGGGAGTGCCCTGTTGCTCTCATGTTCTGCTTGCCTGAGTCCCATCTGGTTGGCCACTGTGAGAACAGGATGCCGGACTGGATCGGCCTTTGGCCTGATCCAGCACAGCTCTTCTAATGTTCTCATGAAGGTAACCTCTGAAAATCACTGTTAGGCACAATTAACTTCCCTTTCAAGGGTAATAGCAACTGCAGGGTGTGGAATGGGTTCTTCAGATCACAGCAGGGCAGTAGGATAAAACCTCCTCTACCTGCTTGCCTCCAGTAGTCCCTATTAAAATTGCCCCCAGGACTGCTATTAATTTTAAAATGGACATTGATACGATTTAAAATAATGTGTTTAGCATCTCGTTTGTCTACTTGTGTCTTCAAATGATTGTTATGCTTTTTAATAAGTTAGGAATTATTTTTATGATGTATGCACTTAAGTCCTGATTTTTCTGTGTCAAGCAGTAATGTTCCTCCAGTCAAACTTCTAAATATAAACTTTACTACTTTTCTTTATGAACACTGTGACAGTCTTAAGCATATCTGGCGCCTTGGTGCAAAGCTCCCTCCACCACCACCACCACCACCACCACCCCCGGTTTCCCAGAGTTTTTTAGGGAGGACGGCGCTGCTGGCAGGACTGGAGGAGGCGGGCAGTGGCTGGAGGGCAGCTCCTCCGGTGGGGAAGAGGCGAAGGCTGAACGTGGCACCTCCCAGCTCAGCTGGCCACTTCATGCTGCGGTGGCCAGGGCAGGTGGAGGCTCCAGGCGCGGTGCTGCTTCGGCACAGCATGGCGGGCGGTGAGCTGATGCCAGGAGGTGCCGCATCCAGCCTCCGCCTCTTCCCTGGCACCCTCCAGAACTTGGTGCCCTGGCGCCCCGCGCCACTAGCCTCTATGGGTAAGACGCCCTGGTGACAGATACCCTTGCTGAACTGAGGCTTGGTTCCCAAGCTTCAGCAAAATGTAGGATCAATGATATGGACTCTAATACCATAGCAATATAAAGAGGCACAAAACAAGGATGCCCACTGTCTCCCTTCCTATTCATCCTAGCAATCTGAATCCGGGCAGCCCCTGACATCAAGGGAGTGGTAATAAAAGGGAAAACCTATAAATCATGGCTCTTCTCAGACGACCTGATGGTCACAACACCAGACCTCACAAACACAGCAATCACTCAACTCATTCAGAATGGTGTCGGGCTTACACGTAAAATGTAAAATCCGAGGCTGTGTGTTTCAACACCCCACCTCATATACAAAAAGAATTTTCCAACATCAGAAAGAGAAAACTCTGCCGTACGAAATTCAGATCCTTCGGGGCAAAAAATAACCAGAAACCTCAACAAACGATACCTCCACAACTACAACCCCCTGTGGTGACAAATTAACAATGGCCAGAGGAGATGAAAGAATACTAACTTCACTCTCTCGGATGAAATAGCCATGATCAAGTGAGAAGAGGTGCCACAAGTTATATTGTACAGAGGCTCTGGCATCAGGGTTCAACGTACCTGGGAAATTGTAGTCTGCATTCTACAACATTTGAAAGCACTTTCTCAACATGAAGCCCTAAGCTTTTTCCTGCATAGGAACCCAGTCAAATGGCACAGCAATGCTATCATTACTGCAGTCATACCTCGGCTCCCGAATGCCTTGGCAGTCGAACATTCAGGCTGCTGAACGATCAAAACCGAGATGTGAGTGTTCCAGTTTTCTAACATTCTTTTGGAAGCCTGATGGGGCTTCTGCGGCTTCCGATTGGCTGCAGGAGCTTCCTGAAGCCAATCAGAAGCCACGCTTTGGTTTCCGAACATTTCAGAAGTCAAACGGACTTCCAGAATTCAGAAGTACGACTGTACTACATCTCAAACAGCAGTATGAATTGGCTCTCAAAATACTACTTTAAAACACTGCTTTAAAAAGTGATGCATTCACTGTTCTGAAAGAGGAAGTAGTTTATAAAGCCTTAAGTATTTAATAACTCATACATAAGAGAACATCTGAACCCCCTAAGCCCAGTTTCTATACTAGGTTGGGAGGGAGGCATGGGGGGGTCCCCTATTGGTCCAGCCCACCCCCAAACCGTCACATCTCTGTGACCTAGATGTGTTCTGCCATTTGCTTCTACCAGCTGCTTTTAGTAAAGGTAAAGGGACCCCTGACCATTAGGTCCAGTTGTGACCGACTCTGGGGTTGCGGCGCTCATCTCGCTTTATTGGCCGAGGGAGCCAGCGTACAGCTTCCAGGTCATGTGGCCAGCATGACTAAGCCACTACTGGCGAACCAGAGCAGTGCACGGAAATGCCGTTTACCTTCCCTCTGGAGTGGTACCTATTTATCTACTTGCACTTTTACATGCTTTCAAACTGCTAGGTTGGGAGGAGCAGGGACCGAGCAACGGGAGCTCACCCCGTCGTGGGGATTTGAACCACCGACCTTCTGATCAGCAAGTCCTAGGCTCTGTGGTTTAACCCACAGTGCCACTCGCATCCCTACCAACTGTTTTTAGAAATAGATTAATTGCTTAAGGATGAGGGACGAAGGTTGAACGGGGTGACCTAATTTATTCCAGGTCATCACATGATTCTAATGTGTTCAGACAATTTTTCCGAACAGTGGGGACCATTATGAAACTGGGAACTGGTCATACATACATTACAGAGATGTCTCACTGGCAGGAGGGGGAAGGCTCATTAACTTTCCGTCCTAAATCTGAACCCTAGTCGCACCTGGGATGTATTTGAAATTGACTAGACCAGTTTGTTAGTAACTTCTGGTCTAGTCAATCTCACTTGTCGTGAGCATTATCCAATAGGCACCTGTAACACGTACCTATTGCAAATTTGCTGTTTTCTCTTCTGGGGATATATAGCAACTCTTTCAAGACACTACAGTGGTACCTCAGGTTACATACACTTCAGGTTACAGACTCTGCTAACCCAGAAATAGTACCTCGGGTTAAGAACTTTGCTTCAGGTTGAGAACAGAAATCATGCTCCGGTGGCATGGCAGCAGCGGGAGGCCCCATTACCTCAGGTTAAGAACAGTTTCAGCTTAAGAATGGACCTCCAGAACAAATTAAGTTCTTAACCCAAGGTACCACTGTATATGTGCTGTTGTAGACACCTGCAAAACTTGTCTGATCAGAGAACAATCTGGGGTCCAAAAAAGAAAAAGAAAAAAGAACTTGTATACTGTAGTCAATTATGGCAATAGCACCTCTGCACATGTGTGGAAAGCTGCCTGTTTCCTCCCTTAACTGCAGGGGGGGAAGCTGCTTCAGAGGGTTGGCAGAACCTCCATGGAGCAACACATGAGGCTGCATGTTAGGAGGTGGAGGAACTGCAAGCAGGAGGGGGGAATCAGTGGGCTCCCCACATACATGAAGAAGTTGTTATGTAATGAAGTTCTCACCCTGGGCCAGCAGGGGGATACTGTAGATAGTTTTCACTCAGGTCCACATATGCAAATAAGGGATTGAAAGTGACGTTACAGAAAGTGGTTACTGTTGCGTTGTAGTGGAGCTCTATATAAGCAGGTTGGCTGAACCCTTCAGTTCAGTTCTGTTCTGGCCTGTGAATAAACAAGAGCTGTTTGAAGAATCGCTGTGTTGTCTGATATGGTCACCCACAACTTAACAGAAGTGCTATTCTTTAAAAGTTTAAAAGGTGCAAGGCGATAGGATAATATTATATTAAGGATGGAATAACAAATAAAATGAGTAATACAACAATAACAAAAATAATAGTAGGCAAAGAAGATCGCACACGGGTGAAGTACTGGGTTGTGGGGGAGGGAGATGAAGGGATTAATTGAAATTGTTAAAGATTGGAATAGGATTTAAGAGATTTAAATTTCCATAAAGATTCTATAAGGAAAGCAGGAAGCAGCAAGAAATATCAAGTAAAGGTATTGGAAAGGAGATCAGTGTAAATGAAAACATGAGACTTATGGTTTTGCTATATATGATTTTATTTTGGAGTTGTCTGTTGTAAAGAATGTATATTATGTGAATAAAATAATAAAAAATTAGAAAAAGAAGACGTGCTTTTGTGCTTGCACACAGTGATCTTTGGAGCCAAGACATCATCTGTACATGACCTAACAAAGCAGACTCAAAACAATGACCTAAGATGGGAGATCTCCTGCAGCAATTGTGCTGTTCATCTGGGTTTGCTTCACGCCTCGGATGCAGAGCTAGTGGTGGTCTTTCTTTGTGCTCTCTGTGGGAAGAAATACGAAGAAAATAAGGCATCATATCTTAAGCCTTTGTGGGTCCAGGCCAGCCACCCATCATGATGTGGAGGGAGGGGAGTTCTCCTTGCACAGTGGATGCCTGCACGATTCCACCTAAAGCTCACCAGCGGCCATTTTGAGCATTATGTGACTCTCCTTTCTGACATGTGCCCAAGCCTCATTCCATCCTTACCTGTGCTGCAGGGAGTGTTATAGTCAACTTCCGCACTGTCTTCTGTGTATGAGAGAGAACAATTCATGAGACAGAGATCGAGCAATCCCAGAGCAAATCTCTCTCCCACCCCCATCAGCAGGAAGTCAGGGTCCTCCAAAGGTTTCTGAACTACAACTCCCATCATCCCTAACAATTGGCCGTGCTGGCGAGAGCACATGGGAGTTGGAGTCCCGTGGCATCTGAAGGACCTGAAGGATAGCTGAAGGATAACCTGAGACTTCTAATCCCAGGGTCATGGCTTTGAGACTCACGTTGGCCAAGAGATTGCTGCATTGCAGAGGGTTAGTTTAGATGACACTCGGGGTCCCTTCCAACTTTACAATTCTATGATTCTGTGTCCACAAGTTCCTCATCCCTGTTGCGGAATCCCACTCAGGGAGGGCGGTGTGAGAAGGACACGATGCCCCTTCCACCCCAGCCTCGCCCTCAAGGGGCTGGTGTCAGGGAATGGTCTGAAGATAAGGACTGGGGAATGCATTCCATGGCAGACCAGCTTCTCTCTGATGGAGAGCTGGAGGGGGAAGAATTGCGCGCTCGCCCCCTTGCCCACAGCATGTTCAGAGAGAGAGGCAGAAGCTGAACAGCTTAGAGGGGGAATTACCCAGTTATGAGATAATGACGACAGAACAGAAAGGAGGGGGCAGCTAGCTGAGACATCTCTTGAGAGCGTGGAGGGCTCCCCTCCCCATGGACTTGGAGGTCTGAACGTATCAGAGAACAAAGGAGTCAGAGGGAGGGAGGAACTTCTCATCAGCGCCCAAAATGCTGCGGAAGCCAGAAGGATGATTAGACTAGGCAACTGTTCTCCTTGCGGAGAGCTGTGCATTTGTGCTGGCAACATGACGCTGTAATAAAAGGACTATAAATCTATCAGCTGCTTGTTAATTCTGATCTGTGAAGTTAAAAAGGGAGGGGAGGACTCTCCACACCTGACAGCTGGGATCGAAGGGTGTACGGCTGCTGAAATATTTCTCACGCCGCCCTCCTCAAGCCGTGTTGCGAGGCTGGGATCCGTTCAGATCACAACACAGTGCAGGGATGGCTCAGGGATGGCAGCGTGAATAGCGCTCTCCCCTACCCCGATGCACCCAGGGCAATCGCCCTGGCAGAACCCACCACCACCACCCTTGGCAAAGGTAAGTGGGGAGAAGTCCAACTAGCATGACTTCACACATGCAGACGCTTGGCATGAAAACAGACGTAGAAGGATCGCAATGAAGGGTTCCTGAATGTCCCTGGCAGAGTTCTTTGGAGCGCATATGCTTAGGGAGAAGGGGATTGGGAGACAGGCAGGATTGTGGTGCACTTTGAGATGAATGGTACCCATTTCCAGCAATGAGATGCTTACCTGGATGGTAATAATCATACACTTTTGCTATTGCTGGCTTTAGATCCATCACTTCTGTTTCTTGTTCCACAGACACACTGTAGTTTTGAACTTCACTATCCAGCTGGAGACAGGAAAGAGGGGTAGGAGATAAACATGGCAGGAAGTGTTCGTCCATCAGAAGGGGTGGGGTGGCAAACAAATCTAATTAGGATCAACTACAATGTGGGCTCGTCCACACGTCCATTTGCCCCACTGCTTTTGCCCCCAAAGAAATCTGGGGTTTACCGCTGAATCAGACAAATGGCAATCGGGTTTTCCATGGCTTGATGTTCGTTCTGACTTAGCGGCAAAAAACAGGTTTTCCAGGGGAAAGCTGCTCGAATCCACATCTCCACCCCCATCATTCAGCCCGGACACTGAGGTCCAGCTCTGAGGACCTTCTGGTGGTTCCCTCCCTGCGGAAAGTGAGGTTACAGGGAACCAGCTGCAGGGCCTTCTCAGTAGTGGTGCCCTACCTGTGGAACGCTCTCCCATCAGATGTCAAGGAAATCAACAACTACCTAACTTTTAGAAGACATCTGAAGGCAACCCTGTCTAGGGACGTTTTTAATATTTGATGTTTTATCGTGTTTTAAATATTCTGTTGGGAGCCGCCCAGAGTGGCTGGGGAAACCCAGCCAGTTGGGCGGGATATCAATAAATTATTATTATTATTATTATTATTATTATTATTATTATTATTATTATTCAAGCAGAAAACTGCTCAGAACTGTACTTTCTAGGCACGGGGCAAGCAGAAGTGTGGATGAGCCCTCTGATGGCAAGTTTTTGAGTTCCCCAGTGAGGACACTTCTTCTGCCTTAAGGAAAAAGAGGGAGTAAGGAAAGGTCTTCCAGCTAGGGCGGGCTTTGCTTTGGTCCTTACTTCCATGCCCTCCTTGCCTGACTCAAAGGTGGAGCATTACCCCAGAACCCCTTCTACATATCCCTGATCTGTGTCAATCTGATAGAGATCTGAGTAGGTCTCACCTGATCCAGGTAGATGTGGATCTTGTCAGGCTCAAACTCCACCTTTTTGACGAGGGGCTTCATTAGGAGCTGTCAGAATATGGAAGAAATGGGCTCTGTGAATGAACAAATCAAGCCAGCAGCCCTAGGCCACCACTGGTGGGCTGCCATCCCATAAAACGTGAGCTCGTACATAACAAGGACAACAGTTTTATAGATCCTCACAGTTGTTGCACAGAAAATGACTAGAAGGTTCAGCACTCTGAGACACCTTACTGCAGAATATGATAATATACGATATACAAAAGAGAAAATAAGGATAAATATGAGTACACAGGAAACTTTATAACATGCTTAATACAGGAACAGGGCACTGTTTGAAATGTGGAACTTCCCACACCTAGAAAAATAGGGGCTCAGTGTCACTTTCAATTGTGGGGACACGTAGCAGCAGATTGTCACCAGACACCTTAATTCTGTCCACATCTTTGTCAGGATTGGCTACTTGGGGAGAGGAGTGGGCCACAGAACCTGTGGGAAATCTGGGCTTTGGGCATTTCTCCTGCCATCCCACCTTCAGAAGGACAAGGCCAATCACTCGCCTTCTTGGGCCTGGGTTCAAGGCCAATGCCCTTCCATTCATTTGCAACATGAGTTGCCAGAAAGGTAACGGTATACCCTGCCCTCAGGGCAGGTGTCCGACTCTAGGGTTGTGCGCCCATCTCACTTAAGACGCCGGGGGCCAGCGCTGTCCGGAGACACTTCCGGGTCACGTGGCCAGCGTGACAAAGCTGCTCTGGCAAGCCGGCACCAGCGCAGCACACGGAAACGCTGTTTACCTTCCCGCTATAAAGCGGTACCTATTTATCTACTTGCACTTAGGGGTGCTTTCGAACTGCTAGGTGGGCAGGAGCTGGGACCGAAAGACGGGAGCTCACCCCACTGCGGGGATTCGAACCGCCGACCATGCGATCGGCAAGCCCTAGGCGCTGAGGTTTTACCCACAGCGCCACCCGCGTCCCTGAGTTGCAGGAAACAACCCAGCAAAGAAGTTTTGCGCTGATCAGTTAGGTGTTATTGGTGGATAAATTCCATGTTGTATATTATGCAGTGCAGCAGCAGCAGCACATCAGGAAAGAACGTGATTTGTTAAGAGAGGATAGTAAATACATATACAATTTTATCTAAAACAGATGCACACAAAGACACACGTCAAGCAAGCAAGCAAGCAAAACCAGAGAAGTGGTACAAACAGACTGCCCTCTGCACATCCAGACAGTCTACCTCATTGCCTGATTCTGAAAGAAGAACAGAGAAGAGAATGAAATATGTGGAAGGACCCGGGGAGAAGGATGTGCCTGAGAACTGGAGATCAGCTGGTTTAGGAGGAGGAGGCTGGGCAAGTGGGGATGGAGTCTGAGAATTAGACCCTGGGAGCTGGGCAAGGGAGGAGGGATGAAGAGAGATGGATGAATGGCTGAAGCAACCTGGAGCTTGTGTCTCTTCCTGAAAATGGACCCTCAGGAGCCAAGATCTCTCCTGAAATGCTCCGCTAACAGCTTAAGCTGTTTTTCGGACATCTTAATTTCATTCTTCAGTTCTTACTGTTGCTTGTGGATCTTAATTTTGCTTTTGCCTTATAGAAGCCGTTCTGAATGACTACACAGCAGTGTCGTGGGACGAAACAACTAAAACGAAAGGATTACTGAAAGACGGGGAGAAGCCAAGCCAAATGGTCTTACCTGCTTCGCAGACTTCTTCACAGGGATATACCCAGACAGCATATGCACCTCTATCAGGACCATGTTGGTTTCATTGCGCCCCCCTGTGTAGCTAACGGGGGAAAGGGAAAGAGTGGCAGCTGAAAAATCATCTGGGGAGATTTGGATCCAGTACATACCTTGGTTCTCAAACACCTTGGTACTTGTACGTTTTGGCTCCTGAAGTGTCCGGGTTTTTGAATGTTCTTTGGAAGCTGAACATGGCTTCTGTGGCTTCCAATTGAGTGCAGGAAGCTCCTGCAGCCAATCGGGAACCGGGCCTTGGTTTTTGAATGGCTCCAGGAGTCAAATGGACTCCCAGAAGGGATTAGATTCGACAACCAAGGTACCACTGTAGTGAACTTCCTTCCCCACTGCCTCACAAGTGAGCAGCCTGGAGGATGGGTTTAATCAATGTCTCGCTCTAGGCAAGGCCACCCTGAGGTGATTGCTGATGAGACTCACTACCCAGCTTGCTGCTGAGACAAATGGCTACAGCCATCAGAGCTGAGTGCTCCTCTCAGCCTGGGTGGCTGTGAGCAGCAAGCAGAGGCCCATCACTCCAGAGCCTTCCCCTTGCTTCCATTCAGCCTGGGGCCTAAATTGAAAGAGCAGACCTCAGAAGATGCATGGCCTCAGGCATACATGCTACCGCCTCCATTCCTGTTCTTCGCAAGTGTCCCCCCCCCCTTCCCTTCCAAATTCTCAGGCTCAGGGACTTAAAAGCAAAGAGCGAGAAGGCTTGCAAAAGCCTTTGCTAGTCTTTCCCTCCCTCCTTTCCCTTATAAGTCTCCATTCCATTGCAGTAGTATAAGGGATTTTGACAAGTGGGCAGCCCTATTAGCTTAGACAGAGCTCATGATCTGAACCCGGCTCCAGGGGAACTCCAGCATGGGATGAGCTGGGAGGCAGAATTTTTTATTTTATTATTATTATTATTTTGCAAATATGTTGTAAATAGGCAGAACATATTTTTGCATGCAACTATTCACATGTTCCCAAAGCTTCACAAGCTGCTTCACCAGAGATGTGATTTTTGGAGCCCCTTCAGAAGCAGCTTAGCAGAAGTACAGTACCTGACTTGTACATGAACATCAAAATATTTCCTGGTAGTCTGGTTGCATTCCTCTGGTGATGTCTCTACACTCAGAGCAAAAGCTTCCGGCGGTGGAGGCTCTTTGTGGTATCGAAGAGTAGTCTACGTGGGGAAGAAAACTGCTGTATTCTGGGCTGACTTCTGGCATCTTCTGCGATGTGTATTATAATGTTTTCATCAATAAGGGCCACTATCTGAACGATAACCTTGCTCATTTGATTGCCCTTTTTACACATCACTGTCTTTTTATTTGTATATATTGCTTGTTTTATGTTGCCATGGCCGTTGGCTAATGCGAATAAAGTTTATCTTATCTTATCTTTCATCATGTGCGCTATACAGTGGTACCTTGGTACTCAAATGCCTTGGTTCCCAAACGCCGAAAACCTGGAAGTAAGTGTTTTGGTTTTCAAACTTTTTTGGGAGCCGGACATCTGATGCGGCTGTCGGCTATTGTTTCTGGGGCGCCTGCACCAATCAGAAGCTGCGCCTTGGTTTTCAGACATTTCAGAAGTCAAAAAGACTTCTGGAATGGAATTAAGTTTGGCACCTTTGTTTTTGCTATTTGTTTTGCGTTTTTGCTTTTGAGGCTTTTTCGGTTAATTTGTTTTTGTGACTTTGTGGAACCCAGTTCAGCTACGGATTGATTGATTGTGTGACTGCGGAAATGGATACAAGCCCCCCACCCCACTCCATCCAAACAATGACTATCATCCGTGCATAATTGTAATTTTTATCATCTACAATACTGTCTTATTTCTTTTACAGTATAGTACACTGATTATTGCTTTCATTTTATGGATCAATGATCTCGTTAAATAGTAAAGCTCATGTTAAATTGCTGGTTTAGGGGTTGTTTTTAAAAGTCTGGAACTGATTAATCCATTTTGCATTACTTTCTATGGGAAAGTGCACCTTGGTTTTGGAACGCTTTGATTTTGGAACGGACTTACGGAATGGATTAAGTTTGAGAACCAAGGTACCACTGTAATATGTTTTTAAGACCTCTCTGTTGTTTGTTTGTTTGTTTGTTTGTCTGTCTGTCTGTTTGTTTGTTTGTTTGTTTGTTTGTTTGTTTGTTTGTTTGTTTTGGGCTATAACCCATATTTGGCTGACCAATAAAATCTGATAATGATTGTGATGATGATATACAATATGGGCCACTCAATGAGTGTTCCATCACATTGTTTTCACCAGGAACTCTGTTGGAACTCTGCCCTATCCTAGCTATTAACTGTTGGCCAACTTATACTCCCATTTATTTATCTAATTATTTCTGTTACTGACGTTATTAACATCCCATGGCAAGAACCACCATCTGCTGAATCTGTGCTAAGGAATTGCCTTTCCCTTCAAACTTGCAACAGTCAGTATGTTTCATTGGATGTTACCCAGCTATCCTGCTGTGGAGCACGATGAACACGAATGCTCTTTTCATTTTCTCAGGACTGCTCAGGATCTGAGACACGCCCCCCTCCCGCCTCTCCTTCCTCTGTGACAATCTGAAAAGTGCCTCAGTCTGTTGCTTCTATCCTGCTCCCCGTGGATCAAAGGTGAGCCTTGTTTGTGCCTTTGTCCCCTGAGATTTCCATGGCTTACCTGCACATAGGCACAGCCGTTCCCTGACACCTCCAGCTTGTATTGACCAGGAATCTCTGCAAGAGGGGCCTGTTGCAACACCAGCCGGTTCTTCTTGCCCACGTGGAACTCGTGCTGGAAACCCCCACTGGATTTCACCAGCACCTTCACATCTTCTGCCTCACGATAGGTCAAGGCTGCATACTTGGATAAAGCCTGCAGGGCAATCACTGTGTTCTGGGGAAAGCAAACAGTCGTCTTGGATGGTGGGGTGGAGATCCAGGAGACAAATTTTAACACTTACTGAGATCTTATAAACAATAACTCCTTTTGTCCCTCATCCTGCCACACCACTGCAGCCATTGAACATAGGAAACCTCAAACGATGATTTTCAAGTGCCCGATAATTTTCACTCCACTTAAACACCAGCCCTGTGCTAGAATGTGCATTTCAAGGTGAATACCCAGGGATGACTGCAAGCAATAGCAAGGGACAGTGGGCGCTCCCCTTAAATACTCCCTCTAACTTTTTGGCAGAGTATATTCAGGTGGATTAAATCTTTCCTCCTTTAATCCTTCCCATCTCTTTGCTCCCCCCAAGCTAGTTTTTGTTCTGGAGTCATCCCTGCATTTGGCACACCCAAATACGGAAATTTGGTAACCTGCCACACCTCTTCCCTTGAGAAACAGCTGTCGCTACCTGTGAGGATGAAAGTCCTCCATAAAGATTCTGTAGGCTGGTGAGAGAAGGCACAATTTCAGAGGCATGGTTGAGGACATCTGTGGACACCTCAGGTGTGCTGAGGAGAGACAGCAGATAGTAGACTGTTGTTTCTACATCTAAGAAGGATACAATTCCATCTATAGAGGGGAAAGAAAAGAAGGTGGGCTCATTTCAACTCCTGTAATAATAACCCAGAGCAATAATTGGAGTGGGAACTGCTGGTGCTACTAAGCCTGCCTTCATTCATTCATTCATTCATTCATTCATTCATTTATTTATTTAGCATTACTAGGCTGCCCCCTTGGATTCATTCATTCCAGGCACCAGGGATGGGAGCAGAGATTTAAAGTCTAATCATCCCAGCCACCAGCTCAGTAAATATTGAATCTTCTCCATATACACAGTACAGCAATTAGCATTGGGGGGGGGAAGGCTCCTGTTGACCCCAATGGAGGCTTTTCCTGGCGCAAATTGCTGCAGCTGCATGCAGATGTGATTTTTACTGAGATGGCCGCTATGGAGAGAAGACTTATACTTCCCCGTCCTTTTCAAAAAACTAAGCAGTGGGATTGCCGGGTTGTTGCGTCAAGTGTAGTTAGGCCCAGAGGTCATTCAGACTTGTTCTCTGCAGTGGGTCATGTTGGGTAGGGCACCACACCTTGAGTCTAGTCCCAAACCCCAGCAAAAAGATATCTTTGTAAGGAGGCTGGAAAGGGGTACTCCCTGTGTGAGAGCCTGAGGGCCCTGCTCCTGCCACTCACCACCTGGCCTAGGGCGGGGCCTGAAGCCTCAAAAGGACTGCTTTGCTGCCCAGGAGGACTCCCCTGTGTGAGTGCCTGAGGGGGGCCCCCCCCTAGCCTAGGGCGGGGCCTGAAGCCTCAAAAGGACTGCTTTTGCTGCCCAGGAGGACTCCCCTGTGTGAGTGCCTGAGGGCTCTGCTCCTGCCACTCACCATCTGGCCCAGGGCAGGGCCTGAACCTCATAAGGACGGTTGCTGTTACTGCTGCTGCTGCTGTCCAGGAGGACTCGGAGGGGCGCAGAGTTCTTTTTTAAAATGTTTTTAAATTTTTCTTTTGCTTTTTGTATATGGGGGGGTGGCGGTGGGATGGATGTTTGGTTGGGCTTGGGAATTTGTTTGATTTTGATGTTTTGTAACTTTTACAGTTTTTTGTTTGTCTTGTTTTATTGGGTTTTTTGTTTATTTTTAAGGTTTTATTTTGTTCTTAAGGGGAGGGGTCAGGGCTGCCGGGGAGTGGGTCCCAGCCAACAAAATGACTGGGGCATGTTCCACAGAGGAGGATGTGCTGGGACAACCGATCTCAGTGATCACAGGTAGGAGGAGGAGTTACGCTAAGACCAGACCATGTCATTACAGAGGAGGCAGGTTTAGTCGTTGTTTGAGGACTATCCCTGCCTTCGGGTCTGGTCCTAACCGGACGGATACTAGAATCAGCAAGGGATACCCACATGACTTGAAGGTGCTGCTGTGCAATGCCAGGTCAATGATTCATAAGACCACTGGTATCCATGACTTGATCATGGATGGAGGACTTGACCTGGCATGTGTAACAGAGACCTGGTTGGATGAAGCAGATGGGCCTGTCCTTGCCGCTGCTTGCCCACCAGGTTTCTCTTATGCACAGCAACCCAGGCCTTGTGGGCAGGGAGGGGGGTTGCAGTGATTTTTAGGAAGTCATTAGTTTGCACCAGGCGTCCTATTAGGAAGACCCAGTTCTCTGAGTGCATGTTCTGGAAGTTGGGCAATAGGGGCAGTACAGGATTCCTTTTGGTGTACCGACCTCCTGCTGCACCAAGGATTCCCTGCTCGAGCTGCTTCAGGTCGTGGCAGATGTTCTCCTGGAGACACCTAGTTTGGTTGTCTTAGGGGATTTTAACATCCATGCCGACATGACCTTACAAGGGGCCGCTCAGGACTTCGTGGAAAGCATGGCCTCCATGGGGCTGTCCCTGAATAAGTTTGGCCCAACCCATTGCCGCGGACATGCCTTAGACCTGGTGTTTACCTCTATGGATGTTGGTGATCTGACACTAAGTAAAAGCGAAACGAAAGAAGTGTCATGGTCAGATCACTTCCTGGTGCGACTGGACTTCTCCGCGACCCATCCCCTCTGCAGGGAGGTGGGACAGATTTGGATGGTCCGCCCCTGCCACTTAATGGATCCAAATGGCTTCCAGAGAGTGGTAGGGGATGCTTTATCCCATGTTGATGGCCTTTCAGCTGATTCCCTGGTGGCCCACTGGAATGTGGAATTAACCAGGGCTATTGAATGTTTGGCTCCAAAGCGCCCTCTCTGATTGCATGGAGCCCGGACAGCCCCGTGGTTCTCCACGGATCTGAGGGCAATGAAACAATCGTTGAGACGGCTAGAGCGCCGGTGGCGGAAAACTCATTCTGAAGCTGACCGGACACGGGTTAGAGCTCGATGTCAAGCCTACCAAGTGGCGGTAGCGACAGCAAAGAAGACTTTCTTCACTGCCTCTATTGCATCTGCAGAAAACAGCAGCAGGAGACTTTTTCAGGTGGTTCGCAATTTAGCGGAACCACCTGCTCCATCGGGGCCCAGTATGGGCCACATGATCTCCTGCAATGATTTTGCTAAGTTTTTTGCAGATAAAGTCGCTCAGATTCGGAAAGAGGTAGACTCCACCGTGGGAACAGGGCAGGGGCGGGAGAGTGCTAGAGTCCTGTCTAGTCATGTTGTGTGGGATCAATTCCAATCTGTTACCTCTGAGGATGTGGACAGGCTGCTTGGACGAGTGAAACCAACCACCTGTCTCCTTGATACTTGCCCATCCTGGCTTATAAAAGCTAGCCGGGAAGGGCTGGGCAATGGGCTTCGTGGGGTGGTGAATGCTTCCCTCCATGAGGGAGCCTTCCCAGACCCGCTGAAAGAGGCGGTTATTAAACCGCTTCTTAAAAAACCATCTTTAGATGCGGCCACGATGGCCAACTATTGCCCAGTTTCAAATCTTCCATTCTTGGGCAAGGTGATTGAGCGAGTGGTTGCTGAACAACTCCAGGCACGCCTGGAAGAAGCGGACCATTTGGATCCCTTCCCGTCGGGATTCAGGCCTCAGCATGGGACTGAAACGGCCTTGGTCGCACTGGTTGATGATCTCTGGTGGGCTAGGGACAAAGGTGAGAACTGTTTCCTAGTTCTGCTGGATCTCTCAGCGGCGTTTGATACCATTGACCATAACATCCTTCTGGACTGTCTTGAGGGGCTGGGAGCTGGGAGCACTGTCATACAGTGGTTCCGTTCCTTCCTTCTGGGCTGTGTTCAGAAAGTGGTGTGGGGGATGAGTGTTCAGACCCCTGGGCTCTCACTTGTGGGGTGCCTCAGGGTTCTGTCCTCTCCCCCATGCTTTTTAACATCTACATGCAGCCGCTGGGAGACATCATCAGGGGGTTTGGGCTGGGTGTTCATCAGTATGTAAATGATACCCAGCTCTACCTCTCTTTTAAGTCAGAACCAGTGAAGGCGGTGAGGGTCCTGTGTGAGTGCCTGGAGGCGGTTGGAGGATGGATGGCGGCTAAGAGATTGAGGTTGAATCCTGACAAAACAGAAGTACTGTTTTGGGGGGACAGGAGGCCGGCAGGTGTGGAGGATTCCCTGGTCCTGAATGGGGTAACTGTGCCCCTGAAGGACCAGGTGCGCAGCCTGGGAGTCATTTTGGACTCACAGCTGTCCATGGAGGCACAGGTCAAATCTGTGTCCAAGGCAGCTGTTTACCAGCTCCATCTGGTACATAGGCTGAGACCCTACCTGCCTGCGGACTGCCTTGCAAGAGTGGTGCATGCTCTGGTTATCTCCCGCTTGGACTACTGCAACGTGCTCTATGTGGGGCTACCTTTAAAGGTGACCCGGAAACTACAACTAATCTAGAATGCGGCAGCTAGACTGGTGACTGGGAGCAGCCGAGACCACATAACACCGGTCTTGAAAGACCTACATTGGCTCCCAGTATGTTTCCGAGCACAATTCAAAGTGTTGGTGCTGGCCTTTAAAGCCCTAAACAGCCTCGATCCAGTATATCTGAAGGAGCGTCTCCATCCCCATCGTTCTACCCGGACAGTGAGGTCCAGCACCGAGGGCCTTCTGGCAATTCCCTCACTGCGAGAAGCCAAGTTACAGGGAACCAGGCAGAGGGCCTTCTCGGTAGTGGCGCCCTCCCTGTGGAACGCGCTCCCACCAGATGTCAAAGAGAACAACAACTACCAGACTTTTAGAAGACATCTGAAGGCAGCCCTGTTTAGGGAGGCTTTTAATGGTTGATGTATTACAGTATATTTAATTTTTTTTTTTTCGGAAGCCACCCAGAGTGGTTGGGGAAGCCCAGCCACATGGGCGGGGTATAAATAATAAATTATTATTATTATTATTATTATTATTATTATTATTATTATTATTATGGCTTACATCGCTATCTGTAAAATGGGAATAATAGTGGCAGGTCTCAAAAGACTGCCCTTACAGATAAACAAGACAAAGAGTTGGAAACATATGAAAGCACTCTGAAATGCTTCTATCATCACAGTAATTGTGGATAATTCATTCTGGGTCACCAAAGGACTACCTGAATTGACACGTTTGTTTAGAAATAATAGAAACTACTGGGGAACTCAGAATTTACCCCAACAGCCTAAGCAGAAAAAGTTGCTACTCCAGATGTGGCAAAACAGCCGTCTCTGGAACAAGGGTTGTGTACACACGCCTCTCTTCTCTGCATACACTGCACTCCCCCTGCTAGTTCCCCACCAAGATCAAATCCTGTCCATGGTGAGAAAGAGCACAACCTTGTTGCATTTTAGGTCAGTTAATGGGCACACAGCTTCCTTTGCTTTGAATGAACCCCTCCTACCTGTTTTGTCAGCCCCTTCACGCAAGTCTGTCAGGAGGTTCTGCCGTATCTCTGTGTCCCCAGACAACGTGAAGACGTAAGCCATTAAGGCCTTGCGGTAGGCATCGTCCACAGAAGTCAAGTTCCTCTTCAGGCAGCCCAAGGCATCATCTACCATTGCACGCTTTAACACAATTTTAAAAAGACTCTGTTAGGTTGCTGAGTGGGAGAACTGCACTTCTCTTAGGAGGTCCTGAGGGTCCTGGGCATGAGAGCTATAGTGGGAAGATATACAGTGGTACCTCGGGTTACGTACGCTTCAGGTTACATATGCTTCAGGGTACAGACTCCGCTAACCCAGAAATAGTACCTCAGATTAAGAACTTTGCTTCAGGATGAGAACACAAATTGTGCTCCGGCGGCGCGGTGGCAGCAGGAGGCCCCATTAGCTAAAGTGGTGCTTCAGGTTAAGAACAGTTTCAGGTTAAGAATGGACCTCCGGAACGAATTAAGTACTTAACCCGAGGTACCACTGTACAGTGCAGGGGTCTGCAACCTTTAAGACAAAAAGAGCCACTTGGACCCGTTTCCGAAGGAAAAAAAACCTGGGAGCCGCAAAACCATTGCGACATTTAAAACAAATATATCTCCGGAGCCGCGATCTGACAGCGGGCGGGAAGGTGACGTCGGGATGGTGTGTGACTAACGCACGCACCGCCCCCATGCGACGTCACAGCCGGTACAGCGCCCGCCACAGTGGGGAGTGTCGGGGCACACAATGCGCCTCCTCCCCTCGCTAGTATTCGCTCCGGAGCCACGGCAAAGGTGTAAAAGAGCCACATGCGGCTCCGGAGCCGCAGGTTGCAGACCCCTGGTACAGTGGAACCTCGGTTTTCAAACGTAATCCATTCCGGAAGACCGTTCGACTTCTGAAACGTTCAAAAACAGAGGCGCAAAGGGCAGTCTGCCAATTCAATAGAGAAAATTGTGGGGAAACAACAGATACACACAGTGGAAGCCATTCAACCTCTGAGGCACATTCGAAAATGGAAGCAATTACTTCTGGGTTTTCAGCATTCGAAAACCAAAACGTTCGGCAACGGAGATGTCCAAAAACTGAGGTACCGCTGTATAATTATCAGGTCAGACATCTCCCTGGTGTTTCTTAGATGGACAGAAGGTGGAGATCATGTACTCCTGCCCTCTTTTGCAGAGACTTCCAGGCTACAAGGAATTCCCTTCCAGCATCTGGACACAAGCTGAACATAAGCACATACCAATGACTCAGCAAAGAGTAGCATTTTATGACACATCTGTTGCAGATGTGGTAATTTTGTGCCCATTATCTGCCCGTACCACCATCCTACAAACTGGGGTCAGAGACATTCGCTCCCCCCCAACTTGAGGGCTGCATTCCCTCACGGACAACCTGCAAGTAGTGTTCAGAGCCAGAGGCAAAAACTGGACAGAGCAATGGAGGGAGTTTGTATGGTAGGCTACATTTGAGGCATGCAAAAGCCAGGTTTCTACAGAAGCATCAAGAGGCATCATGACTACAGTTTGAGGCATGTCTCTCCATCCAGACAAGCTGAAGGCACACCAGACAGGGTGGGGGGCCAGTTACTAGAACCTTTGAAAATCTTTGCCAGTAAAGTGGTTTCCCAGATGCTTCATGGAGTAGCGATATGGGGCATGGACCCAAATGCTAACAAAGCCTTAGAAATAGTGCAAATACGGAGCTGGTAGTTCTGCCCTGAGCTTTGAGTTGTACAAGGATTGATGGGGAAGTCACAAAAATTTGTGGAAATCCTAAGGAAGGACTTACATTCTCCTTCATGTTGAGCTCCAGCAGTGAGGCAGCAACGTAAGCTGTTAGTGAAATCTCATCATCCACGCCACCCTAAGGATGTCAGGGGAAACATAAGAGAGAAGTCAAGGCCCTTCCAGACTCCCACTGTTTTGAGTGGGATTCCATGACAGACCAGAAAAATGGAAGTTGTGCGGTTGAATTAGTTTCGAGACAGCAAAGCTGCTCCCCACCTCTCCCCAAACTGGACCTTTCGTGATCAGGAAAGTAACAGGAAAATACATTGGGAAGTGTGGGATAGCAATTGCTTGATCTCATGTTATATAACCTCATTCTCATGAATGCTCAGTGAAGGTACCTTTATGGCATTGTTGAAGACTCTTCCCACACTTTCAAAGCAGCCACTGGGAAGTTGGTGCTGCCCCAACCAACGCACAGCATCCTGAATGTGCTTCTCATCAACATAGACATAAGTCTTGGCATGGCCAAAACCCTTAACCACAGCAGCCGTCAGCCTGTAGGATTGGAGTAAGAATAAATTTAAAAATGAGGGGCAACTCAGCTTCTGAACTACAAGGGATCATGCCCCACTATTTTTCATCTCAGCTTTTCTCCTGCAGCACTCAACAGTGACTGAAGCCGTAAGGAGAAAGCTACTAACTGATGTTGCATGGGGACTTCCTTCCAGCATGGCACTGACTTAAATTAAATAGGTAAATCAATGTGGGGAAAGCAAAATGTCACTTAGAGAAGGATCTGAAATAGTTTCCTTGAAGCTTTAAATTGTTTTATTTTTGATTGTTTTGTTTCATGTGTTAATGTATTGTAAAGCGCTTGGAGATTTTTTCCTTTAAAATATAAAGTGGTATAGAAATGGAATAATAATAATAATATAAAATATAATAATAATAATAATAATAATAATAATAATAATAATAATAATAATAGAGAAGAAAAGAAGAAACATGTTGGTCATAAGGTTAGGCAATGCTGCGCAATAAAATGCTACACTAAACCTCAATTTTAATTCCCATTCCACCTGATTCCAGAAGTAGTAGTAGTTTGATTTTGCCTCTTAGGGGACACCCAAGACCACCACCCACCCACAAATTGATGGTAGGCTTCTGCCTCTTTAACAAGCAACATCACCATGAGGCCAAAAAAAGGTGCTAACTGGGAACAAGGGCTGGCAGATTGCAGGCTGCAGGCTTGCTCCTTCTCCAATTGCTCATGACAGCAAATTGCTCAGCCTGAATGGCCACCCTGACAGCTTGGGCTGGCTGGCTCTAGCTCTGCTGCTAACTCACCAAGTATTCCCCTCAGCATCATGCATCCCAAAGGCACTGTAAGAGCCGTTATCGCGCTTGTAGAGCAGCTGGCGTTGATACCCTGGCAGAAGAGAAGAACAAAGTAGCACTGGCAATGCTAGGAGGGACCCTGATTTTACCCGCTTATATATCTAAGGGATTTACAGTTTTTTAAAAACCACCTGACTAAGTGGCCGACGAAGTTAAAACAAAACAACAATCAGCACAGAAAACAATGTAGGACTGCAGCAGTGGGAAGATGATTATAAACCAGTTACATAGGCAGCTCAGCATCTTAAAAGGCCTGGGAAAACAAAATAGAAAGAAGTGTTCTTCCGGTGCCGAAAAAACATCATGCAAGGTTTTGTTAGGGCAAACCTTGTATTAAGTGTCTATGAGACATTTGCAGTGAAAGATTTGGCTGGTTATATTTGGCTGTTTATACTACATAGGGCTCATAAAAAGAAAACAGCTCCAGGCTGTAATGGAGGCTGTGGGGAGAGAGAGACCTCTGATTTTAGGTCTGTTTAGAGATATTTTAATTTAGTAGGAAGATAATCCCGTGCTGGACATGCACATGATGCTATTCAACTACTTAGAGGTATCATTATTTGTTTCCTGCTCATAAAACTATGAATCATTTCCCCCTTTCCCCCTTTCCTTGTTTTTCTTTTTTCTGTATCACTTTATCTCTTTATAATTGAAATTCCTTCAATAAAATATTAATACCCAAAAAGTGGACCAAGGGATAAAGTGGTTGTGGGCTGGGGAAATTATAGGACTACGTCAGTATCTATCAAATGGTGAAAAGAACCACAAAAAACACAATGGATTGTGATTGCAAATTCGCCATGAAATCTCCACTCCCAGCAAACACTTTTTGATCTATGAAGAACAATCATGAATACATCCTACAGATAAAACTGAAATTCCTTTCTCCAAGGCTTCCAGCGTCTTCTCAAGAGCACCTTCCCATTTGCATGAACAAATTCACAACTGTCTCCTTAACTTCTCTTCTCATTCGGCCAGTGATCTTCCAGACTTTTACTATTCGCACAGTTCTTGCCAATGAACACCTGCCTTAAGCCACATTCCGAGGAGAAAAGAGGAACCTACTCACCACTCTGTATGTACTTTATTACGTCCTCTTTGAAGGTGGGGGTTGCCTGGTTGGTCTTCTCCAAGTACCGGAGTATGTGAATGTTAGGAACAAACTTCATCAAGTTCTGCTCACCGCAGCCCAGGGGTCGCTGAATCAGAAGGTCTATATATTGTATTGATGTGCCCATAATGTCCCCTAGATGTTGAGAAGATTGTTATCATTACCACCACCACCACCACCACCACCATCATCTGGAAACCAAGTCTTTTGAGGAAAGGCTGCAGGAGTTGGGTATGTTTAGCCTGGATAAGAGAAGACTGAGAGGAGGTCTGGTGGCCATCTTCAAATCCTTAAAGAGCTGTCACATGGAAGATGGAGCAAGCTTGTTTTCTCCTGCTCCGTGGACCATATGAGGAAAGGAATCAATGGCAGCCAGAATTGCACATGGGTAACTTGCATTATGATGTAGTGGAAAGAAAAGTCACCTCCTCTCCAGATCTCTCATATGGCCAGAGATGGGGAAGAAATGTGGGGGGGGGGGCAAATATCCTCACCAATGCAGGAGACAGTAGCTCGGCCAGAGCCCTCCACAATAGCTTCAGGCAGCTTTAGGGAAACCTCATCATGAACTGGGTCCCCTGAAAGGAAATGAAGAACAGGAATTAATGCAGTTGAATGCACTAACCAAGTGGTCATAATCTGCAGTTGGACTTGCACACAGCGAAGATGGGACTAGGAGCTTGCTAGCTCAGTGAGTCTGTTTTTAGCCACTGTATTATCTCAGCTGTCGTTCCGCCCCCTCTCCATCCCATCCCTACTCCCCTTGGCAAGCAGAGAGACAGAGTGTGTGTCTTGGGTCTCTTTTGCATGCCGCTACTGCCCTAGGGAAGAGACACGTCTCCAGCCCAATAACAAGCAGAGCAACACTTCGTCTTCTCTCCAACTTGCGTTCTCTGGGGCCCCATCACAAGCCAAGCTGCCCTGAGCAAGGGATGCAGCCTAAGCACACCTGAAGAGCAGAGGAAGGCATTGTGGGTCTCTTCTTCAAGGACGCCTTCTGGCTGTGGGAGGAAAAGAGAATGAGATGGTGAGTGGGACTGCTCTCTCAGGGGAATAATCTCCTTCTACTTTCTCTGCCTTTCCCCTGCTCTGTGTAAGAGCTCTCACAATTGCCAGGCCTTCCAAAGGATCACTGCCCCTGGCTGACATCACCTTAGAGATGGAAACAGGGAGGCTGTGCAAAAATCCAAAGATCCTCTCCTGCCCAGCACCCAATGAATACAATTCACCCCCCGAAAAAAAAAACCCTGTTTAGGGGAGACCCAGAGTTCTGAATCAGTTGCTGGCACTCGATAACTGTGAGCCAAAGTTGGACATCAGGGGCTCAAGGCCACATAGACACTGACCTTGACCAGCAGGGATTTGACCACTGTGTCTGACTGGCCTCGCGCAGGTGTGGTGGAGATCTTATTGCCACACAGCTCATGCGTCTCCTCTGCCTCGGCGGTGATCGAGAGATTGACGTGCCCTAGAGGAAGGCAAAATTGGCACAGACCCATGATGAGTGCCAGGAACTCAGGAAGGGGAAGAGGCTGCTTGGAGGCCAGAGCCCCAGTCCAGCCCCACATCCACCAACATGCCCACCATGCCTTCAGTCTGGAGACAGATGTAAGGGACAGAGGTCGGAGCATAGGGGGTTCTTGAATGGAGATGGACCCCCAACCTCTCCTTTGTAGCCTAGTCCCCAAATCTGCCCTGATGCACAGCTGCCGTTAGCAGAAATTGGGGAGGGACACCATCTGGGATGGGGAGAGAACAAACCCATAGCACATGCAGCAGGGGGCACTGTTATTATTTTCCACATTCCACTTAATGCCCAGTTGGCTTCCAAACAGAAGAATCCGTTGGTTCTGCCAAGTGTCCTCAGATGACAAGGTCTTTGGGGAAGAAAGAGAGGGACCCTTGGCAGCCTCAACCCCACAAGTCTCCTCCCACCCACTCAGGCGCCTCAACCTCACCCAGCTGAGTCGCCGTCACGTTCCAGGAGAAGGTGTGGGCCTCCTCAGCACAGAGGCAGGTGCTGAACTGGCAGGCCGGGCATGGCTTCACGTCCACCTCCTGCGACTCCAGCAGCTTCACTCTCACCTGGGAGATGCAGCAAAATGACCCTCGTGAAGCAGGCAGAGCAGCGAGTCCAAAGCAAGGGGCAAACATTCAGAGAAGAGGCACAGGAGGTGGGCCTATGCCAGAAGCAAGAGCCAGACCCCATGCCTAGGGGTGCCCCACATTGGGAAGTTGAGTAGGCCGTAGACTGTGCCCAGTAAGACCTCGGTAAGTGGGGTCTCCTCGTGCTTTTGGGGCACCATATTAGCATCTGTGAGGAATGCCACCCCAGATTAGACTGGCAAGATTTATTCACTCAACAAAGTTTACAGGAAGACCTCTAATCAAAAACCTTTGGGATTCGAGTGGGTGGCTTGGCTTCCTCACACAAACCCCTCATGGCTGTTGTTCTGTGAGCCCCTCATGAAGCTCTTCAGCTGGTGGCCTGGATTGTGGCTGTGGGGAAGAGGAAGGGGGCAGCAGATGGGCATCCCTAGGCCTTGCAGCAGATCAGGCTGGGTGGTTTTCTGGCCTCTTCTGGTCTCTTGCAGCAATAAGGCTGTGTTGCATATGGGGCTGTGCACACACCACACATTTAAAGCACACTCAGGGGTTGCTGTGGGAGGAAAACTGCAGGTTCCCAGGAGGGAATGTGCTCTATGGACCTCTTCTGCTATGAAGGGGATGGGGCTGCCTTGCACTTCCTGTTGTCCACACTTCTGTGGCACATCCAAAGTGGAGCTTCTGTTTCCTCACCCACAGGAAGAAATGCAAGCTGTCCCCTCAACACTGAATGCAGAGTGGTGGGGGGAGGAGGGAAAAATTCTGACCTGTCCCTTGGGAGAGACAGGTGAGTGCAGGTGTAGGAAGGGCAAGGCCCTGGTGAGGTCCAGCCCCCCCCCCCAGCCTCCATCTCTATCTTGTGGGGTTCCTTCCACGTCTTTCTTTCTGGATACACATATAAGGGAAGCTTGTTTGCCTGTTCTCAATGGTCACTAACCTGGATACATTCCTTCATGTAATTGAAGACAGTGGACTTTAGCAGCAAGGTCTCCCCACGGACCACAGAATGCGGCAGGCTCAGATCCACAAAAAACGGCTTGAAGACCCGGAACTTGGCTTGTTGGGAGAGTCCGAAGCCAATGTCAGCCACACAGAAGGCATCAGCATTCCACTCCGTGATCGTGTCCGGAGCAGTGACCGAGTGAGTTGCCTTCCCCTCCTCACTGAAGAACAGGAAGAGAGGTCACTCCCTCAGTGACAACAAAACTATGGATCGGTTTTCTGAAGGCTGAAGTTACATTTCCAAGGGAAAACCAGACTCCAGGCTCTGAGAAAGCCCAGGCTAGTCCAGACAGGGATCTGTGGAAAATAATTCTGTCTGATCCTTACCTTGAAGAAGAGCTTGGATCTCAAAGGGTTCACCCCACACCCCCACACCCCCGCTACTGATATCCCAGGTAGATGGCATCATCTCAACAGTTATCGTCCTTCGCTTAGCACGGTTCACTTACTTCACTGATACTAAATCCCAGACCCAGGTCTCTGGAAAGTGTGTCCTGGGTTTAGCTTTCTCTTCCTTCTTGCTTTCTGTAGAATCAACAGCCTGAGGCTTCTCGGAAATCACATTCTCATGCTGACCACTTGTGAGCAGGCCTGGAGATAGGAGAAAAAGATCTCAAGTCCATCAGTAAAGATGAATCCGCAGCAGTGTGGCCAAATTTCTGAGAGAGATTATGATGGCAGTGATACAGCGATGCACTGCACCCAGCAACGAAACCATTGACTCAAGGGATGGGATGTCGAGAGGGAGATCCCGCTTGGACATCATGAGGTGAGCAGGAATCAGTGGAAATAAAAGCCTTGAAAGGCAGAAACAACAAAAACTGATTTCTCTACTTGGGGACTTTCCGGCAGCGAAGCAAGCAAATGACTGTGATTCTCACCTGTTTCAAAGCCACTTTTTAAACGTCTTGTTACTGGCAGGTCACAGGAAACAGGCTTTTTAACTTGCATGTTGGTGAAAACTTTCATTCGCATAAGCTGTGGGAAACCAGGAGAGTGGAAAAGTGAGGTGTGAGTATTTGACTCCCAGTAAATTAGCAAAGATATATAAGAATACAGACCACTTCAGGTTACAGGCACCTGAAAGCAGAGAGTTGGAAGGGAGGAAACACGTAACTATACAGTGGTACCTCAGGTTACATATGCTTCAGGTTACATACGCTTCAGGTTACAGACTCCGCTAACCCAGAAATAGTACCTCAGGTTAAGAACTTTGCTTCAGGATGAGAACAGAAATTGTGCGGCGGCGGCAGGAGGCCCCATTAGCTAAAGTGGTACCTCAGGTTAAGAACAGTTTCAGGTTAAGAACAGACCTCCAGAACAAGTTCTTAACCCGAGGTACCACTGTGCTTCAAATATGTGTTGGAAGTGTAAAGAAAAAGAAGGCACCTTTTATCATATGTGGTGGACTTGTAAGGAGATAAAAGCATATTGGTAAATAATATATAATAAGTTGAAAAAGATGTTTAAGATAACCTTCATTAAAAAAAACAGAAGCTTTTTTATTGGGAACAGTAGGCGCAGAGAAACCCAAGGGAGTACAAAAGACTTTTTATGTATGCAACGACAGCAGCCTGGATAGTCCTAGGCCAAAGATGGAAAGAAGTCAAAATACCTACAGAAGCCAGTCAAGCTTGCAAAAATCTATCACCTGCCCGATAATAAGTGTTGGAAATGTAAAGAAACTGAAGGTACATTCTTTCACCTTTGGTGGACGTGCCTAAGGATTAAGGCTTTCTGGGAGATGATATATAATGAAATGAAAAAGGTATTTAAATATACCTTCTTGAAGAAACCAGAGGCCTTTCTCCTGGGCATCGTGGGCCAATTGGTGCCAAAGAAGGATAGAACTTTCTTTATGTATGCCACGACAGCAGGAAGAAAATTTCTTGCAAAGTATTGGAAGACACAAGATCTACCCACCCTGGAAGAATGGCAGATGAAGGTGATGGACTATATGGAACTGGCAGAAATGACCGGCAGAATCCGAGACCAGGGAGAAGAGTCGGTGGAAGAAGATTGGAAGAAATTTAAAGACTATCTACAGAAATATTGTAAAATTAATGAATGTTAGAATGATGTTGGATAAAAAGTTAAGTGGTTTTTAGCTATAACGATATAAGGAATATGAAAAAATGGATTATTAATAGGTAAAATTTAAGGTTACAATATTTTTAAGATTAAAGACTAGGATAAATAAAGAGGGAAAGGGTTTGCTGAACTAGTAAATTGAATTGGAATACAAAAAGGGAGGTGTGAGGAGGTCTGGGAAATAAGCAAATGAAGGATAAGATGGGATTGTTTTTTAACTATTTTTATTTTGTATTTTTCTTTTTTTCTTTTTTCATTTTGTAAAATTCTAATAAATATCTTTTTAAAAAAAATACCTACAGAAGAAGACTGGACAACAAAGCTGATGGACTATGCAGAGATGGCCAAAATCACTGGAAAAGTCAGGAACCAGGACAATAAAAACTTCAATAAAGACTGGGGAAAGTTTGTAATATATTTGAGAGCACAATGTAAACAATTAAAAACATTAGCAGGGTTGAAATAACACTTGTAATGTGAGAAGAACTATGGATTTAAATAGAGTATTATGAAAATCTGGAGGAAGATATGATATGCAGTGAAAATGTTAATAAGAGGACTCCAGGGAGGGGAGAATGGAAGTCCGTGAATTCAGAAAAATTCTACGATTTATGATTTTATTTTGTGTTTGAATGTAAATTTGCATTGCAAAGCTAATAAAAAGTGATACAAGAAAAGGAAAAGTAAGGTGTGAAAGACCCAGCATTAGGAGGCGGTCCAGTCTGGCAGCAGTTCCACCTCCCTCCCAGTCATGATACCGCCCCTGCTTCTGCTGGGGTTCTCCCATTCTCCCTCGTGGGGAAGGAAGTCCTGCCTATTTGCCTAGAGCAGATTTCAATGGGCAGAGGGGTGAGAGGATGAGAGAGGGGAGTCAGGGCCACCCATCAGACGTGGTTTCTTTAAACCTGGGACCGTCCCTGGAAAATAGGGGCACTGGGAGGGTCTGTAGGGTGCATCTCATGGAAATGAGCAAGGAACCTTTGGGAGAAGCTAAACTCGGGGGCAAATTCTACTCACCTTGAACAGGCTAAAAACATCGGCCTCACTCTGAGCCCAATGGGCTCCCTTCAGGGCCCTCTTTTGCTTTTGGCTTGGAGCCAGAGGAGGCAGGCAAGGATATGGCTCAAAGTCTTCCAAGCGATAGGGAAATCCTCTTCCAGAAGTTAAATACAAGAAATCATAACTAAAATGACCGAACACCTGAAAGCAGAGAGTTGGAAGGGAGGAAACACGTAACTATACAGTGGTACCTCAGGTTACATACGCTTCAGGTTACAGACTCCGCTAACCCAGAAATAGTGCTTCAGGTTAAGAACTTTGCTTCAGGATGAGAACAGAAATCGGGCTCTGGCGGCGTGGCAGCAGCAGGAGGCCCCATTAGCTAAAGTGGTGCTTCAGGTTAAGAACAGTTTCAGGTTCCGGAACGAATTAAGTACTTAACCCGAGGTACCACTGTATTAAGTGTTGATAAAGCCGAATCATACTGGTTGAGCCCCAGGCCAGACTGAAGCCCCTTTTTGTCTGCTGACAAAAGGGAGGCCACAGAGGCAGTTGCCCTGGGTGCAAAATTTGTTTCAGGTGCAAAATTCCAACACACAGAGCTGCATCAATACAGCCACGTGCTTTCGTCACTGGCCTCCACTGCAAACGGCTTCTCCATGCAAACTAGGAAGTTACATCTCCAGACAACAAATCGACTCTATGGCTGCGATCTCCTGGGTGATGCGGATGCTTTAAGCAGTTGAATGTGCATATGTACTCCGTCCGCTTCCGTTTCCCTCCCACCCTCCACCCACCTCTGCACAGCCCCGGCAGCTGGCAACCCATGCTACGCCACTGTGAATCAGTATTTCATTTGTAAATGCAATTGCGTCGCTCAGGCACTGCACTGCATGCAATACAACACCGTGTCTCCCTTCTTAATGATGTGCTTGCCAGGCAGTAGAGGAACCAACCCCCCACGGCAGGTTGCCAGGAATGGACAAGACAAGGGAATGTCCTTACCATCTGCTTTTATTCAATATTCACAGAGAGTGCCTTGGGAATGTGACCTCTTGGAATAATGGCGTTGCTCCAAGTGAATCTCCACCCCCTCCCACTTCCTCACGAGTCATCTCTACGGTGCTGGGACGTGCCCTCTGCTCTCCTACTTTCAAGGCCCGTCATGTTCTGGGAGAGAGGGGTCTGGAATGCTATGCTTTCTAAAGACACTGAGTCCGTCAGCTGTTGCCCCTCTAGTGCTTCTTCTTCCTCCTCTTCCATTATTTCCCAGCTTTCCCCCTCATCTGCGTCTGAGCTGTGATCTCCCTCAAAGCCCTGATTTTGACCTTTAAAGCCCTATGAGGCCTAGGACCCATGTACCTATGGGACCGCCTCTCCTGGTGTGCCCCGCGGAGGACCTTAAGGTCCACAAATGACAACATTTTGGAGGTCCCAAGTCGTGAGGTGGTTAGATTGGTCTCAACTAGGACCAGGGCCTTTTCAGTACTGGCCCCGACTTGGTGGAATGCTCTGTCACAAGAGACTAGGGCCCTGTGGGACTTGACATCTTTCCACAGGGCCTGCAAGACAGAGCTGTTCCACCTGGCCTTTGGTTTGGACTCAGCCTGACCCTTATGTTTCCCTCCCCTTATGGTTTTGATAAGACACACACACACACACACACACACTATTTGAATGGCAATGCCTATCAATTGGGGGGGCTGGCCCCCTCTAAAAAATTATTGGGCGAAAATTTTCTTGGGCAAAGATGCCTTGGCCCCTAGGAGTTGGCTCCTTATGCATCAGCCTGAAAATGAAGAGAAAAGAATAGGGCACAGGGAAGGGACACTAATCTAATTAAGCAGCCCCAATGTATCTATGTGGAGTTTGCTGTCTGTCTGTTTGGTCGTGAGTCACTTTGGGTTGCCCTGAGCAAGATAATGTGACTGACAAATTTAATAAAGAATAATAAACTAATAATAACTGAGGAGGATGAGCGCCCTTACTTTCTTTGGTGTCAGCGTTTCATCTTCCAACAGGAGGACACTCTTGTCGACAGCACGGAGAGAGCACAGAGCACCAGGAGCAGCCTCGACTTGCAGACTGACTTTTGATCCTGGAAGCTCCTCCTCCGCAGAGAAGTCCAAAGTCACCTGTGGAAGGAGGCAAACAAAACAGGAATGGTCAGTTAGGACACCTGCGGCGACGAGAGTGGATAACAGGCAGCACCAGGGCAAGAATGTCACGGAGGATGGTGGAGAAAGAGCGAGTATTGTGAACAGCAAAAAGGATCTGAAGATTTGCAGGATGCAAGGCCTCACCCTGCCCCACTTGCTTCCTTACCCACCTTATGTTTGAAGCACTTCTGTATCTCAAACTGATCCACGTCAGCCGCCACCTCGCCATCCAGAAACACAGTGTACAGAAGAAGCCTGACTGTGGGTGCCAGGTCAGAGCTCGTAGACAAGGTGAGGGAGAAGGTGCCTTTCAGAGCTGGATCAGGGGAAAGGGAGAATGGAGGGGAAGGAGAGAGAGAGAGAGAGAGAGAGAGAGAGAGAGAGAGAGCATTCATGTCATACAACATGAGGAAAAAACATCCCTGTGCATCTCACTTCTGCTAGATGGTGGTAAAGCAAAGAAAATCAAGAAGACCCACCCCAAACGCAGCCAGCCCCCCTGTGCACTGCAGAGTATTCTAACCCTCATGTCTTCAACCTAATAACTGATTTATTGCTAATAGCCAATTCCATTCTGCACTACACAGCAAGTTCTTTTAAAAAAAACAACAAAATCCTATTTCCATCTATCAGTCCGCTATGGTAATTCGCCTTACTTGGAAGACACTGACTGTGAATCGTATGCCAACAAGCACTTTAGAATGAGATTCTTTGCCAAGTGAAAAAAACTCAGGAGTCATTCATGAGATTTAAATCTGTTCAGTGTCAGAAAGTTGTGTCCAGGATATGTGTGTGTGTGTGTGAGAGAGAGAGAGAGAGAGAGAGACACATCGGATGTGCATTGACTCCTGACAAATTCTGGATGTTGGGGCTGTCAAAAGCAGGGGAGGAGGGTAGCCAAGCAATCGTCTGTTTAATCTGGGCTTTAAACCCTGAGGGTTGTATTCAATTCACTTTTACTCAGAGTACACCCACTGCAATCAAGGGCTATGACTAACTTAGGTCCATTCATTTCAGTGGGTAAAAATTAGTTGCATGCAACCTTCATGAACCACGCGGTTGGCAGGGGAAGCAGATGGTGTAGGTGAGAGTCTCCCACTTGTGGTAACTGCATGTTTAATTATGGTTTCACATCTGAATCAAACTTGGAGTTGTGGAAGGCCCCAGTTCAGACTGGGCCCGATCTGAGGTGTTGAACCTGATGGGGAGACAGACAGCTGGGTAATGTAAGCTGAGTGGTTAATACATTTGAAAAGTTTCCTCTTTTGAAGTCAAACGTGACTGTGCTAGGATTGCTTGGTGATGGTCCACCAGGCACAGTGGTGTCTCCAATTGGTTCAACACTCTCAAACCATGTCCTGGGTGCTACTAAAATTCGTGGCCATCTCCTCATTCTTGAAAGACACACCAGACTGCACAGATTAGGCCCACCAAACATTATCAGCTTGGCCAAGTGTGGTGCTTCTCCGATGGATCTCTTACTTACTCTCATCCTGGCCAACAGGAACGGTCTTCTGTCCACTGGAGACAATCTTCCCTTTGGACACAATCTGCAGGGAGATGGTTTGTTAGGCCAGGGGCAAAAGGAAAAGCCTCCCCACCCTCTTTGGCAGTAGAAATACAGGAAAGGGAGAGAGAAATGTCGGACAGGAAGCAGCCTGCAGAGACTGTGCGATGGGTTTTGCTAGGGGAGGCTCATAGATTAATAGAAACTGCACTTGCTACTTCAGAACGTGAAATTGGGGGCAATAACCAGGAAAGCCTGCAGCTCCCTGTCTTCTGCGCACTGGGCACAACAGCAACTGTTGCGTGTCAAGCCCTTCACTTTTATATGAGATCTCAGCAAAGCTTTCCATGCAACAAGCCATGGATGGAATGAACCACTGAGGCTGATCTATCTCAGCTCAGCTTCTGCTATATCTCTGCTGATGGCTGGACAACCCGTACAGGAGCCACAAAGGCCACTGGAAGGTCCCTGCTGTTTGGATCCAAACAGATTCATAATGAGCAAGAGAAACAGAAATACCAGTACACACTGCAACACAAATACTATTCTCAATTCTGCCCTTTTCCGTCTTCTTGTTATTTTATTCCATTTTCATTTCTCCATTTCAACCGTTTCTGCTGTGTTGCCTTCACTAATCATTTAATTTTATTCCCATTTTTCTCTCTCTCTTTTTTCCTTTTGCACTCCCCTTTCCTTTTGCATGTACCCATTATTCCTCCATATACGCCATTCATTCTTTTCTCACTCACACAGTTCTCCACTGTCCACAAAGAATTAGAAGGAGGTGGCCCAGCTACAGCCCAATCCGTAACCTCAGTCTAATTTCAGCAAGGAGAGGGGCTGGAGAGAAAGAAAGAGAAAGAAGGAGAGGTATACCTCACCATCGGCAGAGCATATGCCCACGGTGCTTGAGACATGCAGGCATGGAGGGCACCCTCCCGTGCGCCACAGTCCAGGGGAGGAAAAGAGCAGGGAAGCTGCTGCCCACTCTCCTCCTGCCCTCCGCCGCTAGGCAAGGCCTGACACGATGGTGGAGCTGCTGCAGCTGGGTGCACTTCGCCATGACCAAGGAGAACTGATGTAATCCACTGGGAGCAGTCAAGTACAACATTCCTTGTAATGCTAGAGCAGACATGCGAGGGAATGTTTGGTCCAGCCAGTTGAAACTTCCTGTTCCTCCTGGCTGGAACATCCTTCCTTTTGCATGTGACAGAAGGTGGGTGTGACCTAACCTGCCCAGGTAACAAAAGGATGAGTCACGCAGCACCTCTCTCTCTCTTTTCCATCTTCCTTTCATCGTGTGAACTGCCGGACTTCTAGCTTGCAGTCACTGGGATTATTCCCCCATATGGGGTAGATCCACATGTACATATTTGTAACTAAGTCTGCCTTCAGAGATCCAACTGTGAACCGATGTAAGTAAACTTCTTTTATTCACCTTAAATAAGATTGTGGCGTCTTTATTCTTTTAAGAGGGATTCAAGGGAACTTACCAGGAACTTACAATTCAATCTGAGACAGACTGAACTGTATAATCGTCAGAGGCTCACACGAGCCTGCAACCAGCTATCGGCTGTGCTTTGTAAAGCGGAAGGCACTCTGCTAAGTAAAGGAACTTCCTAACACAAGTTAGGAAGGATATAAATAAACAATATATCCTCTCCTGTCACCATTAACATTCCCACACACACACCCTGGGTCAAGCGTGACCTGGGGACAGAGCTACTGCCAAGCATGAGCGCCACAGCCTAAGTGCAGTGTCTTCTTACTTGGAGCCAAACTCCAATGAAGGAGCCTGCTGTGGATAGGTGCCTGTTTGCGCCCCCTCACAAAATTGTGCTCCACTATGCCCCTGTACCTCACTCACAGACTCCCATGGGAGGTTGTGGACTCTCCTTCCTTGGAGGTTTTTAAGCAGAGGTTGGATGGCCATCTGTCATGGATGCTTTAGCTGAGATTCCTGCATTCCAGGGGGTTGGATTAGACCCTCGGGTCCCTTCCAGCTCTACAATTCTATGATTCAATTCTGGCTCTGGCCCCCAAATAATATAGTCCTCAACTTCCCCTAGACCAGATGCTCACCAAATAATAGAAATCTACATGGTCAGCATCAGGGCCCAGTTCTTTCCGGTCTATGATGTAATCCACCAGGACTTCCTGGTCTTTTCCACAGGGCAGCTCTTCCTCCACATGCTGGATCTCCAGGAAACTATTGCTCTCAGAGTAGAAGGGCTGCAGCCACATGAAACTTTCGGATTCCGACATCATAAGACTCTCAAAGCCAGTCACATTCTCAAGGCTGTATCTACCCTATGGAGCAAAAAGAGAACAGCAAGGATCATAATTAATTTAGGGTGTTTGAGGTGACAATCAACAAGAGACAACTGGGTGGCAATACAAGGCGTGTGAACCTAACATTAGGGCACAGTATATACTAAACATGTAAACCAGTCTTCACATCTTTGTAACTGTCGTGGCTCCCAGCTAAGAATCATAGAAGAAAGTAACAATCTCTTCAAGGACTTCCTTTTCATTGTGGTGATTTGTGCTTGCAATGGCATTGAGGCAGTTCTGCACGATCCTGCTTTCGATATTATCTGTACCTGCCCAGTGTTTTGGGACAGACATGCTGCTTTGTTTGCAACTACTACATGCTCCTAAGCTTCCTACGGAAATCCTTTAACTATGTAAAAGGTAAAGGTAAAGGAACCCTGTACGGTCAAAGGCGACTATGGGGTTGTGGCGCTCATCTCGCTTTCAGGCCAAGGGAGCCGGCGTTTGTCCACAGACAGCTTTCCAGGTCACGTGCCAGCATGACTAAACCGCTTCTGGCACAACGGGACACCGTGGCGGAAACCAGAGTGCACAGAAACGCTGTTTACCTTCCTGCCGCAGCAGTACCTATCTATCTACTTGAACTGGCATGCTTTTGAACTGCCACATTGGCAGGAGCTGGGACAGAGCAACGGGAGCTCACTCCATTGTGGGGATTTGAACTGCCAACCTTCCGTTCTGCAAGCCCAAGAGGCTCAGTGGTTTAGACCACAGTGCCACCAGTGTCCCAGTAACTATATATACCACAAATGCTCCCATGCCCGAGAAATTGGCCAATTGCCTACCCTCAATGGTGTTGTACTCTGCCCGAGGGAGCAGATTCACTGTGGTGCTTCTGGACCCAGCTTTGTCACTGAAAGTTCAGGTACCGTGACTAGAACACAGGTGCCCCAAGGCATTTCAGCACCAACTTCAAGATTCTACTTTTCCTAAATGAAACCGTTAAAAGCTTGGATCCAGTTTCCCTGTGAGACCGTCCTGTTTCATATATGTCCACTCAACTGCTGTGATCTGTGGAACTGGCACAGTTACATGTGCCACATGCTAAGAAGACCAGGACAAAAGAACTGGATAAAATAGTGGTCAATTGCAAAGGTGATTCGGACATTTAAGCTGGCACATTCTATCTGAGAACCCCCTGCTATTCTATCGTATGCAACAAATAATTTCTAGGAGATGTGACCGTGGTCTATTGTATTTGCAGTGCCTGATGTTTTGGTGGTTTTTATGGTTATTGTTGTTTTTCTTTTTGTTTCCTTTGCGAATGGTGCCATGGCCTTTGGCTAGTGCAATCAAGTTTATGATGATGATGTGCCACACAGTATTCATGCCGCATTTGCAAAACACCAACCTTTTAGTGTGGTAGCACTTTGGAACTCCCTGCCTATTGACGTGACAGAATAAGCATAAGTGTGGACAAGCCCTAAGTTCCAGAAGTAAATAATAATAATAATAATAATAATAATAATAACCTATAGGAAAAGCAACCCTAAGGAAGGGGGGGGATGCACAGGAAAAAGCATCTCCTCGCCCCACCTCTTCCTTAAGACATGTCCAAATATTTAACTCACCCTTATGGAAACCATGTCGTGCCACTTGGTTGTGTCCAGGGAGAAGGAGACTTCACCATTCTCATCTGTGACATAGGAAGTGGTTGTCTCCACATCATCAACGTCAACTGTGAGATAGACAGTCCTGTCCTTGACAGGCACTTTATTGACTGAAACCATCATCTGCGTGAATAAAAGGGAAATAAGCCAACCGCCTAACTTCTTTACAGCCAATTGTTCTCACACACACAAATATATATATATATGCTGAGGTATTTGTTCACTCCTGTGGGCAAGAGCACAACAATACTATTCAGATATTGCCCCTCAAGGTCTAATGATAAGGAGAGGGGCTGAGCTATCTCGGGATATGAATGCTCTCCTCCAGGTAGTCTGTCTGTCTGTCTGTCTGTCATGGACTGTAAGATTTCTGACTGGCATTTCTGCTGCTAGCTGAAAACGTTCGAACACCAAGGTGCGGCTTCCAATTGGCTGCGGTAGCTTCCTGCACTCTGCAGAAGCCACGCCAGATGTTTGGGTTCCAAAAAAGTTTGCTCATCGGAACACTCACTTCTGGGTTTGCAGCCTTCAGGAGCCAAAACGTTTGAGTCGCCAGGTGTTTGGGATCCAAGGTACGAGTTTAATGGCAATGGCACCCACTTGAGAGCACTGGCGGAGGAAGAGGAGTGCAGGGGGAGCGCACTGCCCCCAGCAGAGTGATCCTGGTGGGGTGCCATCACGGCTGCCCCCCCGCCCGTGCTGGGCGCCATGCCCCCACAGGCGGCATGCCACGCCCCCAGGATGCACATCACGCCCTTGTGGGCGGCGCGCCCTGTCCCGCCTGCTCTACACCCCCCAGTGCTGGAGCATGAAGTTCCGCCACTGCTTGAGAGGTGCCAGAACTGAGTTCTGGTGAGTCCTGGCTTGAAAAAAGCCCTGGAAGGGACCCTGAGGGTTATCTAAACCAGTCCCCTGCAATGTGGGAATCCGGGGGTGGACTTGAACCAGCAACCTTTTGGTTAACAGCCAGATGCACTGAGCCATTTCACCACTGTAAGCAGTGCCAAATTTACATATAAGCTAAACAAGTTATAGCTTAGGGGCACCACTCTCTTGGGGCCCCCAAAAAACTTTAAAGGAAAAAAACTGGATGTGCTTTGATAAAATACATATGTTGTTATGTGCAAATGGCTTTAGATACCTGTTAGGTCCATAAATTACCATATAGCTTATATTCAACACAAAAAAACAGCGACAATTTGTTGTTGACAAAGGACAGCTGGACATATAAAGGGCCCCATTACCTTCAGTAGCTTAGGGTCTCATCAAACCTAAATTCGGCCCTGACTGTAAGCTTTTAATTCTTCACGGGGAGGAACTATTTGATATAAACAGCACTCTGCATGAAAACAAGGTAGTAATGTCAGCCTTTACAACACTCAGGCTTTACAACTTCCAAAATAAATGTGTGAATCAGCAACACATGATGCCTCTTCCTTCATATTGTATGTTGTGGTAGGGAAGCAGAATAGGGAAGAGGGCTAGCAGCAGTGGCAGAATTTGGGCTTTCAGATTTCAGTGGTGCCCTGTGCCACGCTAAAATTCAGCACCCCCTGCCCTATAGCATTAGTGGGGTGCCCCCTGCAGCCACACTGGTTGCACTGCCCTAGAACTGCCTTGCTACCC